AGACATTAATCTTTTTCGATTTAAATCCTTCATTGACATGAGTACTTGCATATATATATAAGGTGAATTCATCGTGACATTTAGCTATCAAGTGTTAATGAAAATTAAATTTCATTTATTTAAATCTTGTCCATTTTCTTTTGTACAACTTAGAATGGCAAACAAGCTGACGGCCCACCTGATGGAAAGTGGTAACCGTCGCCTATATATGATTCGCCCATGATACTCCCCATGCGTTGCCAATGCTGAGAACTCAGGTGTTATTCCTCTGTACCCTGTAAATTTTATCATTAAAAATCATGATTCTTAGAAATAATAATAGCAGAGGGAGACTTTGTACAAAAGTCGATTGCTTGGGTACCTCTGCCCCATTCGTGTTTCAACCGTGAAGCAGTTGTGTTTGCATGGCTGTGTTTCGGTTTGAAGGGTGGGAAATGGCGTGAATTTACTGGGTACAGAGGAAGAACATCTGAGTCCTCAGGAATGGCAACGCATGGGGGTATCATGGGCGAAACAGTATACTCTGTTATGTCCATAATACTGCTCATGTGTATAGGCGACGGTTACCACTTTCCATCAGGCGGGCCGTCAGCTTGTTTGCCATTCTAAGTTGTATAAAAAAAAAATTATCGCTTAGGTAAAGTTACTGCAATAATTTTCTCCAAAGATTAGTTTTAATAAATTCTTTTACATATTAGGTATTTTAATGGAAACATTGTGCATTTGTATACATTTTGTATGTAGTATAAAAGTTCGTGTGAGCCCTAATTACTTGTATTATTTCAATCTATACAAACGGCAGTGACATTATTTTGTTTTGACCACACTATCGTCTAGGTCAGGATACTTAACAGTTTAGGCTTCTCACGTTAATTACAATAATGTTAGTAAAAAGCTTAAATAATGGAATACGTAGGCTCTGAGTAAGAATTCAGGGCGCTACGGGTCACACGTTCGTAGCGAGCCACTACGGGAAAGATTGCGCACGCGCCGCCCAACGTGCGAAATAACAACGCAATCACAAAACCGAAATAAAACACGTGCAAACCCTTTGACAATAAAATCGTAATATAATCATTAAATAAATACTAAAATATAATAAATATCAAACCACTATTTGCACAATTGGCCGTTTTTTTTTCTAGATAGCCAACAAATGGATGTTCTAAAACAGTTCCTGGCCACAGCAAAATTGATAATATTGCTAATCCTTGTTTACATTGAAGTTGAGTGCTCGATAAGCAGGTAGATAGATCGGTATTGTCATTTCTATTGGTGAATTTTTAGTTTTCCTATCGCTGCTACATCGTCGCCCTGTTGTTTTTGATGTTAAAAGGGATCGGTTTATTATCGATATAAAAGTATATTTATTTAATGGAATACGTAAGTTAATCAATACAATATGAGCTTAAATTTCTATATTAAAATTGTGTTAGCTGAATTTCTTTTTTTTTTTACATTTGGCGCGCAATTTAAAGAACGCCGTAGCGAGAGATCAACACGTGATTAGTAGCGCCGCGTAGTGGATAATCAGTTAACTAAATATCAGTATTCCATAGGTATGCAACCTTCTGTGAATATTTCCAAAATACGTATATTTCATTAAATTATAGATACTTATAATTCAATGATACAATTAACTTGATATTTCTAGATATTGATAAAAAGAAACTAAAAGAAAACTTTTGTGTGTTCCTAAAAAGAAGTGAAAGTAGAGTATTTATAAATTTTTCTTACCTATTTATATGAAACAAAACTCCACATGAACAAAACTTTTTGTCAAAAAATTATTTTATTTATGAAAAAAGCTAAGATAATTTTTAAGGCTATCTAGATATATTTAATTCTTTTAATTCGGTTTTGAATATATTACACGTAAAATTTATAATAATATTATAAATAAATAGACATTAACAAAGATGTGAAATGACAAACAAATTAACGGTACGCTATATGGAATGTGGCAACCGCCGCCTGTAGATATGAACAGCTCCATGGATATCACGGGATACACATAGAACAAGGCTATGGTATTGATGGCTTACGTACCCTGAAATTTTATCGTTTTATACCTACAATCTTTCATATTTTTATTACATATTTGTGTTACATAGCCTGAAAAATAAACAAGCTAAAGTGACAATGAGCTTACAGTTGTTACTCAAGTTTTTGACATTTTACACTTCACCATAATGATTTTCTCAAACATGCTTGGAAATGTGAGCATTATTTTGACAATCTTCTTCGAGATAAATCAAAATTGCCGGCAAAGTTGTATAAAATTCCATATCTGTCGTGTTTTGCGGCCAGAGAAATTACTATGTAAACTCATATCTGTCCTGTAATTTAAAAATGGAATGACCTTTTACTTCGAAACATGGCTACCAAGGAGGTAACTTATACAAGGTTTTATTTAAATTTCGAACTGGCTTTGCAAATAGAAAGTTGTTGACTGAAAAAAAAAAACAAAGGAACATTATGGCGCGTGAAAAATTATTATTGTTCGTTATTCGTCATTGAATTTAAAAAGTAAAATTGTGTTTTTGATTTCCGCGCATTGTTTGGGAAAAGTACTATATCTTTATTCAAATAAACTTGTTTGCAAGCATATTGTAATCGTCATATTTTTACGAATGCTGGGTTAGCTAAGTTGTTATCGGTTGAGAAGAGCCCGCAAGAAACTCAGCAGTTACTTTTTTATATCTCTGTTAACATTAAATATATTCATTTAAATGTACTATGTCTAAAATTGTATGGTCGTTAAACATCCTTTAGGATTTTATTACAATATTTAGTGTTCATTCTCATGAAATACCTATTAGCTTTTTCTAAACGATACTTTGAAACAGCTAGTCTGAATTTGTATCTAGTGTAGAGATGGCTGTTTTTAATAAATAGTTTAAGATTCCTGCGTATATAAGAAATATTTGCGTATAAGTAAAGTGAGAATATTCTTCTTTCTACCTTTCTCTCTGTACTTATCCATTCTTTATGCCAGGTTGTCTGTAAGAGATTGCTTTTAGCGATAAGGCCGCCTTTTGTATATGCACATTCTGTATAAATACTCCTTGTATACATCTCTACTGTGCACAATAAAGAGTTTATTATTATTATTTAAATTTCTATTTTAATGATTTACGACTTCCCATACAATAAATTGCGCGAATTGTACGTTTTTGTAATACAAATATGCTTTGGATCGCGGCTGCTTTACCCCATAATAATATTCCATAGGACAGTAAACTATGAAAGTAACTAAAATAAACTAATCTGGCAATCTCAATATTAATATACTGTTACAACCTTGCATACTGGGGGGAAAGGGATTGTTAGTAATGGAGCCAAATAGCCCCATTACTAGCAATATACCCTATCAGGTCGACCTCCCTGTTCCCTGAGGTGGTTCCCCCTGGAAACCACCGTGGCTAATTCTAGTTGAATTCATCAGGATGGGCTAACTGCTTTCATCCTCATCAGTCATCTATCACTGGTGTCCCGCCAGTGTATACCGATAGCGCAGACGGGGTTACCATACCATTATCACCGATTGAAAAAACCCTGCGTACAACATACGCCGCAGAACTTAATTTAGTTGCAAGGTTTTGAATGTGAGGCTTCTATTGAGTTTTATTATCAAGAGCGATTCCAAGAAAGATAGTAGAATCTATAAAATCAAGAGGTTTATAGTAAAATTGGAATTATGATTTTTAAATAAAGAAATATTAAAGCATTTTTTTTTAACGTATATAGGTACATATCTATAAATTAAAATGCGGGTCGAACACATAATTATCGAAAGGTTAGGCAGTATTTTATACCGCTACACCATCGAAGCCGCCTCTCTTTGGGTACACTTCTTAAAAAAAATCTACAATAATATTATCAACGAATTCGAACTAATACTTTGCAAAAAGCTAATTTAATATCAAATCTTATACCAAACCACCTGATCAGCATGCTAATGGCAGGACGATATCTTCCTTTTATGGGGAGACCGGTGCCCAACAGTGGGAGGTTAATGGCTATTTATATGGTTTATTAATTATAATAATAATGAATGAATGAATGAGTATACTTTATTTGCATTATACTCGTACAATATAGTAAATAAGCAAGACAATTTACAAACACAACGATACAATTGTATAAGTACAGTAAGGCGGTGTTATTGCTGAGAGCAATCTTTTGAAGAATCATCTAAAGGTATCCAATTAGATTAGTATTAGATATATAATTAAAAAAAAAAAACTAGTCTAATATGTTTATCATTATTTCAACCTTTAACTATCCACTGAACATAAGCCTCCTCTTTGGGAGGTTTTGCTAAGAGTTGTCACGCTTTGCAGGCGGGTTGATAACCGCAATTAGGTTGCTAGCAATATACCCAACCAGGTCGACCTCCTCGCGGTTCCCCCTGGAAACTATCATGGTTAATTCCTGATGAATTCATCATGATGGGCTAACTGGCCTGTTTTCATTCTCATCTATTACCCTTCACTGGTGCTCCGCCAGCGTATCCCGTTAGCGCAGGCGGGGCTACAATACCATTTTCACCCACAAAAAAAACCGCAGTTAGGTTTTAGAGATGTTTTAAGAGGGACGCTGCTGCCCATCCCTCGTCCTCCCTTAGTCGCCTCTAACGATACCTACGGGAAAGGAAGGGGTGCCCTATTCTAAGTCAGGACCACACGGTCAATATGCTATTCAGGTTTTCGTGTTTCAACCGTAAAGCAATTGTGTTTGCATGGCTGTTTCTGTTTGAAGGATGGGATATGGCGTGAATTTACTGGGTACAGAGGAATAACACCTGAGTCCTCAGGAATGGCAACGCATGGGGGGTATCATGGGCGAAATAGTATACTTTGTTATGTCCATGGTACTGCTCATGTCTATAGGCGACGGTTACCACTTTCCATCAAGTGGACCGTCAGCTTGTTTGCCATTCTAAGTTGTATAAAAAAATGGTAATAACAGGTACAAAAAAAAAAAAAACGCAAATAAATAAAAAAAACAATATATTTTCATCACAGATAATACAAGTAAAAAATACCTTATTAAAATATATTGAAATAATATATTCCGAGCATTTAAAACACCATATACAATTTATTTTTTGTAGATTTGATTTGGTTGGCTTTGATTCATTAGAAATCATTTCTAACCAAACGAATCAGTAAAATGACGATTTAAGTGATTACAATTAATCAACCATATAATTTATATGTGTATACCTATTTTACCGCATTCTCAATTAACCATAAAAATGGCGATAAAAGTGATTAAGATAAGAAATAATCAACGAATAATTTTATAGGTATACATATTCTACCACATTCTTCCATATTTGCTTAGAAATATATCAAAGGTATTAGTGCTGTTAAATTTTTCCATATTACTTTTTACCCGAGGGAGACTTTGTGTCAAAAGTCGATTGCTTGGGTACCTCTATCCCATTCGTGTTTCAACCGTGAAGCAGTTGTGTTTGCATGGCTGTGTTTCGGTTTACAGGGTGGGATATGGTGTGAATTTACTGGGTACAGAGGAATAACACCTGAGTACTCAGGAATGGCAACGCATGGGAGGTATCATGGGCGAAACAGTATACTCTGTTATGTCCATGGTACTGCTCATGTCTATAGGCGACGGTTACCACTTTCCATCAGATGGGCCGTCAGCTTGTTTGCCATTCTAAGTTATATAAAACAAAACATACGGTTATAAAAATATTTCGGTATGCTAACAATAAATATGAAAAATAATCTCGATAAATATTAAATAATTGATAACAATTATTTCAAAAAAAAAAATATAAGTCATTGTGACAAAGATTTCAATATTTCATAACAAATAATATTTCTAATAAACTCGTGCTGGCGTCACAGTCGCCCACGACTAAAGATCACGAATTGATTCCGAAACTAGTCGAGCTTTTTCGATCTAATTACACGTAAGTTAAGCCGGTAGTTATTAAATAAAAAAAAAATTCTTTAATAAACTAAATAGTAGTACATATTAGTCATTATTTAAAATAAAAAAAAAAGTTTCCATAAAACTTGCCAACATTCACCAAGAAATTGCGATACCTCTAAAGTTGCGGGTGATCTTGAGCAGCGGTGGTCACTTACCATCAGGTGAGCCGCATACACATTTGCCTTCTGTGTTGTAAAAAAAAAAAAAGAAATATGGATCGTCCATATCAAAATAATTATAGGGGTATTTTAAAACTATTGTTTAAATTGATCACAGTTTCCTTACCTTACTAACTACCTTACCTACCTATTCTACCTACCTTACCTACCTATTCTACCTACCCTTTCCATCCATCACATTTTGTACATTAAAATTTAAAATTACACTACCATTTTATTTTATTCTTCTCATGACCCATGCTAAACAGTGAGTTGTCATTATGTGAAATCATTTATACTTAGAAACTAACACCAAACCAATAAATAAAATAATTAAACAAATGAACATCAGTAATATAATTATATCTAGTAATAGAACTAGTCAACAGTTTAACTATCACTGACGTATTTATATTAGATTATATTTTAAGGGGGAACAGGGGGGAGGGAGAGCTACATATGAAACGTAGCTCGCGTTCTGATGAGCCCCCCTTTCCTCTAAATACGCTTATACCACCTGTACATAATATCAGTGATTGCTGGACTAACAAGTCACTATTTCTGGGTTTACCCATGTAGTCATACTACAAGTAGTTTTACTATTAATATTATAAATAACCATTCAAACTGCGTATGGATTTGAAATCCATATCCTAGACTAGTACATAAATACTTTTTACCCTGATCTTTATAGATAAGCTACCTGCAGCTGTTTACGTAACTATAACAAAAAATTATACATTCAAGTTCATATATTAAAAAAAGTATATATATAAATATAAAACTAAACACGTAAATATGTAATACACCTAATTATATCCAGATATCACTATTTTTTGTATACAAAAGTACTGATAAGTTAAACAAATATCATCAGCTATATTTGTGGACTTCAGATACTATATAAATATCACTTTAGTGATTTTTGAAGGTTGACACTGTTACATAAACAGGTCTGTACATGAACAAATGTATGTACTTAACATAGTACATTTTCTTTGAAATATTTAAGTAACAAAGAGTAGTGTAGGCATACTGAGAATAGTACTACTAAAGGAGTAATACTACGGGAGTTATACTACGGGAGTAATACTACAGGAGTAACACTAACACCTCAGTACTGTTACACTGGGAAGATGGTAATTCTTTCTATCCTCAGAACAAATACATCCTCAGGATGTCATGTCAGGTGGCCAGTACATAATAAATTAGTTGTTTTAATGGAAAACTAGATATTTCTAGTTATATAGTTATATTTATAGTTGCAGGTTACTAGGCTAGGCTGATAAGCCAAATAATATGAAAATGACTTATTGTTACAGAGATTGATATGTATCGAGTGTATGTTATTGTACCATATATACAAATAAAATATATAATATAAATTAATCTAATAATTCAATTACTAATAACTAAATCACAGGTTGCTCTTGCCAGCAGCAATGTATGGAAGGCCCGCTTCGCAGAACAGTTTGTTCCAAAATTCCATTCTCTCCCGGTTGGCGTCCTGACCCATCGACAGAGGTTCTTCAATTTTTAAATACTCCTTGTTGAAGGTGGTAAACGGTTTCCATTTCACACCGAGACTCTGATCTGGGGTTGGATCACTGCAAATTTGTAATAATAAAAATAATATAATTTATTTGCTGAAAAACACGGTACATAGATGGTAGTAATAATATGTTAGGAACAGCCGTGTTTTGCCAAAACAATGGCATGCAAAAATTTAATATTTATGGTGATTTTTTTTTTAATACTATTCACAAAATGTTATGTATGTGCTTATAAAGTATAATTATTTTCTAACAAGCCTTAATTGAGCAATAACACTTGTCCAAAAGCCATTTGTACAGTGTGCTCTTAAATTGTCTCAGTGTCTTTATATTTATAATATTTTCTGAAATATTATTAAAAATTCGTATAGACATATTATAAAAAAAATTTTGATAACTGTATTAATAACTTTATTTTAATAGCTACATTTTAATATCATTACTGAAATAATGTCCAGCCATTTTCTGGTGACTTACATTTTATAGAATTAGAAGCACAATTTGCCTAATCATAAGCGGCCAATGTGAAAACTTTTTAGCTTTTGCTTGTATAAAATTTAATAAGGCTACGAGAGGAAAATGTATTGGGAACCCCACCTGCACTATCAGTATACACCAGTGAAGGGCGATAGGTGAGGATGAAAAGAGGTTGGTTAGCCTATCAAGACCAATTCAACAATAATTAACCACGACGGTTTACGTTTACGGGAGGAACCGTGTGGAGGTCGACCTGATAGGGTACAATCCCTTTCCTCGGGGGGAAAGGGATTGTTAGTAATGGAGACTGAGAATCCCATTGCTAGCAATATACCCAACTAGGTCGACCTCCTCGCGGTTCCCCCTGGAAACTATCATGGTTAATTCCTGATGAATTTATCATGATGGGCTAACTGGCCTGTTTTCATTCTCATCGATCACCCTTCACTGGTGCTCCGCCAGCGTATCCCGTTAGCGCAGGCGGGGTTACCATACCATTTTCACCCATCAAAAAAAAATCCCTCTCCTCCCAATACGATGATATTAGATAAAAAAGTATATACATACCTGACTTTAGCGAAGTTTGTCCATAATTTTGTCAACGTGAACACCAATTGCTGAACTCTTTTCTGCTCTTTGTATATATCTTTTGTAGTATTATTTGAGAACAAATAAAACAGTTCATCAGCATGACACATGCCATCCAAATCCGCCAGCCCTAATAGTGACTTAAGCATATTCAAATCGGAATCATAGTTTAGAACATACTTATAAATTGGTTGATTTAATTTACTGTACAAGTATGAAAATCTATTAATGCTATATGTAAAATATGTATCAGATAACATATCGACTTGTGCGTTAGACACTTCTGTACAAAAATCCTTGTTACCAACATAAAACCTTTTAATTCTCTCACCAAATTCTTTCACTTTTTCATTTGGCAGTCTATATGCAATTTCTTTAGGTACAAGATATTCCGGATATTTATTTTTAGTGTCCACTTTCTTCAAAAAGTCTGATATCATCAAAATACTTTCAGATGAATTATAACCAATTATTATTGGCACTTTGTTGATATTTCCTGCAGCCAAAGCGTCCAGTGGATGTTCAGTTAAAAAAGGTTCTACATTATTAAACTTCTTCTCAATCGTGGGAGTAAAATATATAGGTAGGCCTCTCTCTTTCTCATCGTTAATCCTCGATAGAAACGTAAGTCCGGCCAGTTTACTGGTAGGGACACTTTGAAGGAACTCCAATAATTCTTGTGTACTATTTGTATCTTTTCCTATAGCTCTGCCAGCTATGAAAGCTCTCCGTTTTGCCTCACCAGACATTGCCCAGTCATCTATGCACGTACCACTTTGCATTATAGCTTTGTTGAATAAACCTTTTGACATTGGTGATATGAGATGACACGAGACTGACGCTGAACCAGCACTTTCACCAAAAATTGTGACATTGTTCGGGTCACCGCCAAATTTGTCTATATTGGTTTTCACCCACTTGAAGGCGGCGACCTGATCTTTGAGACCTGCATTTCCTGGCACCTCAGGAATTTCGAGATTTAAAAAGCCGAATAACTCAAGTCGGTAATTTATTGTTACTAGTACAATATTGTGCTGTAAAAGGAAATCTGGGCCATACATTTGTGAATTGCCCGATCCACTCATGTAAGCTCCACCATGGATGAATACCATAACAGGTAATTTGTCACTGGCTGCAAGTGATTTTGTGTAAACATTGAGAAACAAACAATTGTCATCTCCTTCAATCAATTCTTTGGTCACCATGTCATATTGCGTGCACACTGGGCCATGTCTTATGGCATCGTATACACCCGTCCAAGGTTTGGGCGGTAATGGCGCCTGAAAAATACATACTTATTTTTATAAACTAATGTAAATTTCATAAATCAAATGCAAGTGCTTTTTATACAGGCATAAACTTTTAAGTTTATTAGTATTTTTTTTTTATTTAGCTTATTTACCACACTAGTAGAAAATATAGTATCAATAAATATTATATATATATATAATAATTAATCAAGTAAAGTTGAATAAAAAGCTGATCCGCTTTTCTCCAAGCATTTGTATGGAGACACTCAATATAATCTAAGACTTACACATATATAATTTATATAATATATATATATATATATATCCCTAAGGTTGACTGGGAGAGAATGCTTTTAGCGTTAAGTCCACCTTGTATACTTACATGTACTAGAGTAGAGAATAAATAAATAAAATATAGGAAAGTAGTAGAAATACCTATAGGAAAGTTGAGTGCACATATTGATATCAATCTATGAGATACAACTAGCTTTATACAAAAACAATGATTTATTTTTCTAAAAATTATTATCTTGCTTCTATTCCTATTATTAAACCCCATAAGTTTAATTCAATATATTCCATGTATGTACCAGACGTCATCTAGTTAATATTGTATTGATGTAAATGTAAGTCAATAAAATTGTTTATGTACAGGGACATAAAAATGTTACCTGCCTTAAATCTAAGTTTTCCAACTGGCGGTTGTGCATAGGGTATACCTTTGAAGCTGTAATAGGATGATCCGTCCAAATGATTACGTACTGAACCCTTTAATTGCCCCTGTGCAACTGTTACTATAGGATTGCTAGTTGAGTTTCTCTGAAAACAAAAAAAAAATTAATACTTACTTAATAAAAAAATTATTATTATTTTTTATTTTTAACAAAACTCTTAATTTACATCTCCCCTCTTAAGGAAAGGAGATGGCAAACTAACCTCCGGCAGAAGCACAATCGGCCGGGGTTCAGGGCCCCAGGGAGAGAAACCGGCGTACAATGCGGGCAGAATCTAAGAGCACTGCTTTCTGCATCTTTCCCGGAATTATATTCTTTTTTCAAAAAATTCACATTATTATTATTAGGGGAAAAAGAAATTGTTAGCAATGGGGTCAAATAGCCCCATTGCTAGCAATGTACCCAGTCAGATCGACCTCCATATAGTTCCCCCTGGGAACCATCATAGTTAATTCAAGTTGAATTTGTCACGATGGACTAACTGACCTATTTTAATCCTCATCTATAATCTCCCACTGATTCTCCGCTACCATATCATTATCACTCATTAAAAAAAAATGGGGAACATATGTATTTATTCAGTATTTTAAATAACATAAATTATAAAAATTTAAACCAATTTTCTAATGTTTGAAAGATTCAAACATTTATAACAAGAATAATTATCTATTTCACTTTACATTTCAATTGTTTGGCTCCAAAAAGTCTAGAATATGTATAAAACATTTAATAATAGACAGTGGTGATGATATTTTGGTTTTATTATTAATATTTACCTAAGTAATACAAATAAGTAAGAAAATAAGTCAGTGGGTCTCTATAGGGATGATTTCTATTTGATTTTTTTAAATAGATTATCAATGGAAGACATGGTTCTAAATATTGGATAACAATTTGTTTGAAATAATTTAAATTTCCATATATCAAACAATATACATATTAGAACATTTTCATTTAGAAAGGACAAAAGAAATTAACAAAAATATACATATAAATACTGAAAATTAAACACTTAAAAATTATGTAAAAACTCACCATTGTGACAAAATTAGATGTAAAACACTTTGCGTTAAGAACAGAAGAAATAAATACTTTGATTTTATACATAACATATATCTGTATATCGATACGTGTTAATTATTGATAAGCTAAAGATAATGCTGGACTTGGTCATTACAAAAGAAAATTAAATATTACATGAACTTTGATCAGGCATTTCGTATTAATTTCTAATGTTTTTCTTCACCGCCATAAAGATAATCATAGATACTAATTCACGCCAAATAGTAGTGTTATTTCCGTGATATAATCCTATAGGATTTATGTAAATTATCATAGAAAAGTTTTAAAAGTTTTTAGGAAAATATTTAAAGTAAACAAAATAGTGTTGTCAGGTGCGAATTTACATTTTTACCCAAACGTTAAATATTTTTTGTAGGATTTTTACCCTATCACAAAATTGTATCGTTTTATAATTACGTTTTATCCTGTGCCACAAAATAAAGGACGAAGAAGTCCAAGTTTTTTTCCCTCTCCTTTCCTTATTCCATTCTCTGTTATGTACCTTTAATCATACCTATATTTTATTGTAATTAGACACTTTACGCTTTACGAATACTGAAACTATTACTCAAAATTTTTAAAATAAATACTCTAATTTCTCATTTCACTTTTCTCCAGAACTTCTAAAAAATACATTTCTCCAAAATTACGCATGTCGAACTTTTTTACCTAAAATTGCGAAAATATATCTAATTTAGCAACGCTGAATTAAGAGCACAATATTTTTTATTCTGTTTATTACAAAAGGAAAGACAAAGGACTTTGCCCATACAGCTCATGTATATCGTTATGATTCTTTAAATTATTTATTTTTTCTTACTAGCATTGACGTTTTTTATATTATTTTTAGACTTTAGCTTGTAAGTCGTCAGTTTAAAAAATTACAATTAACAAAAATAATAAGCAAGATGTATTTTTGCTGCAATATTTAATTAGAGTCCTAAAAACATTTAAAAATAGGTATATATGTACACAAATCTATAAATATAGAAAAAGATACTGATTGAGTGACTGATTGGTCTATATATCAACACATACAAAATCGCTGAATCTAGTCTTTAAATTTTTAGATAAGTTCTTTATAAAGCGTTAGCGTAGATGATTAATAAAGGACTCTTAAAAATTCATTGTCTAAATATCCCTTTAAACAAGAATTGAGCGATGAGGGGCATGAGTTCTTGTCTTAAGCGTAAGCTCCGTGTGATTATTGGCAGAAATACTTTAAAGAAATTATAATAAATCTTCGGGATTCGGATAAATTCTTCATTATTCCTCAAAGGATCCGAAAGGGAAAAGTCTCTCTAGAGTTTGTATATAAAGCATAAATATAAATAATATATTTTTATTTGTTTCTAAAATTTAACCAACTCTTGATAGCTCCTTGATCTCAGGTCTTTATTCTGTGGCAAATCACTTAAACATGTTCCATTGTGTGCTATGGCTTTGTTAAACAAGTCTTTTAATATTCGTGAAATCATTTCATATGTTACTGAAGATGCATCTACACTTGTATTTTATTGTAGAAGAATTAAGTTTTTTAGCCCAATACTTAAAGTATGTAGATTATTGTTACTATCGATAGGTTTAACGTGCTATAAAAGAAAATTTGAAATAGCTTGACCTTTATAGATAATTTGTCACTCGGTACAAGTGATTTTGTGAATACATTGAGGAGTAAATAGTTTTCATTTCCTTCAAGTAACTGTGAAGTTATCATATCGAATTGTGAACACACTGGGCCACGTTTTAGAGCTTTATACATATTATTCCAAAATTTGAGAGTTAATGACCCCTATAGCTTTCTCTCGCTGAACTTACCAGGATAAAGAAGAGCTCGTAGGAGTTCTTGGAGCCCGATGCTGGTGAGGATTGCCAGGCACAACACTAATTAAGTTACACATAGTTCGTCAGATAATTGCAGTTATGTGTCTTAAATATTAATAATAGCCCAGATATTCACATATAATTTATGGTTAAAAGAACATACCTCAAGTAAATTTCAACCAGATGTAACATCGGAAATGATTTAAAACTATGTAGTTCTGTTCCTACTTCTTCTAGATGGCAGCGCTCGCAATTATAAGAGAGAGTTTTGACTTGTCATTATATTACTTTGTCTGGGGAACACTGGGTCAACCTTGGTACGACGCTCGGGAGCAGCTGCACAAGGGAATTCGTTAATTGACCTCGTGACATTTGCAAATGCGCCATCATTGGGTTTTTCCTCATCATTTCTATGTGAAAACGACGAAAGGGGCTCGGATTTCGTAGCCCGCCAGATTTAATATGCCGCGTTAAATGCCTGGAAATTTACGTATATTTGAAATTTGTACAGCCAAATTAAAATAAAGTAAAGCTAAATAGTTTCATAATCAAGATTGTTAATATTCGATGATCCCACTGAAAATGACCGTTTTGATATTTTAAATACCACAGCACAATTATGCTGAGTTGGAATACCATTCGGTATTTACTGAAATAGGAATATCAAATCTTTAATAAAAGATTTTCTATTTTGTATTCCTATATGAAATGCCGAATAAATGTTTTTTCTCTTTAAATTATTTAAATCGGACTTTTCGTGTAGAAGTTATGACAGATATAAAAACGCAAAAAGTAAGAAAAAGCATCGGCGTGCGTGACCTACCTTACGCCTAATGTTGTTGTTATCAGTTATGTAGTGGTCTAAATACTAATTTAAAATACTAATGTATCTTTTTATCTATCTACATTCGCGAAGCCAAACGGATCGTTAGTAATTCAATATTACATTTATTTATGGCACTTAAGCTTAAAACACAGTGATTAGTTTAACAACTTATTAGCTAGGGTAGATTTATCTATTCTAGTCAATTGACAAAGTTAAAGACCAATGATATAATTTCTGCCACATCTGAGTTTTTGAGTGAGATTGAGAAGTTCTATGAACACAAATCGTCGTTAACACCACATGCCAATGCGAATAACAATCAAAGAGCTAAAGTTATGTTATGAAATTATTCCGGACATCAATTTTTAATAGATTGGCATGACTTTCAAACAGCTTAAAACAGCAAGGCCGAAAACCGAGTGAAGATGGAATTACAGCAGAGCTTCTGAGACCAGGTGAAAAACCGCCCGAAAAACGTAAAGCAGATGTGCGGTGGTCTTGTTTTTAAGAAGGCCTCCGAATGGTGACAATACCCTATTGAAAAACTATTAACCGTTATCCCTTCTGAATCGCGGCTATGTACTTTTTTCAAACGTCATGATCAATCTTCTTATGCACAAACGCGACGATTTTTGATGTCTCGCGTTTGTACTACGCTATAAAAAACCTTTGATTCAGTTGATATATGGGCGGTACTAGTTCTTTCTAATAGTGCCAGACTATAGGCATATCGAAGTGTGTATATGTGTAGCGTGGCTACAATGCCTATCCGAATAGAAAATTAGAGTACAAAACCCATCCCAGTACAGAAAGGTATAAGACAGGATGACGTCATATTCCCGAAACTCTTCTCAGCTGCATTGGAAGATGTTTTTAGGCTCTTGAACTGGAAAAGATATGGACATCAGTGTTGAGTACGTCACTTACCTTTGATTTGCCGTTGATATTGTGATCATAGCGGAAAACCTGAAGGATTTGAATGCTATGTTCAACGACCTAAACAGTGCTTCTAAACAGATAGGTCTTAACATAAATATGAACAATATTAAAATCATAGCTAACGTTCAAGCCATATCTATACCGGTTATGATTGAGAACACTACGCTCGAAGTTGGTCGACGAAAATGTATACCTGGGACAACCTGTTGTTTCAGTAAGTTCACTTTCGACCGAAAGGTCAACCAACGAATTCAACTGGGCAGCGTTCGGAAAACTATGCCACATGATGAAAAGCATCAAAAATACCTCAAAGTTTGAAGACAAAGGTCTTTAACCAGTTGTTAGTAATGATCTACGGAATCGAAACATGGTTTTACATGATTGCCGGTATACAAAAGCTTTAAGTTACTCAGCATGCTATGAATAAGGTTATGCTCGGAGTTTCTGCGGGTAATAGAATTTGAACTAAGGATATTCGCAGAAGAATCAAAGGGACCAAAATAGCCCGAAACCTAAGCAAACTAAAGTGCCAATGGACTGATCACATAACTCGAAAAACCGACAACCGGGAAAAGGGGGAGTGATTACTTCGTACACCCAAACACGGTATAGGACTACTAGAAGGAGTGATGACTTCAAATGTATTGCAGGGAGTCAAGTATGTAGATGGCTCAGGACCAGTTCCTTTTTGCAGTCTGTGGGAAAGCTCAGTTCAGCAGTGGACAGATAACGGCTGATATGTTGATGATGAGGTAGCCTGTTTAAAACTATTTCGTAGATTGTAAATTTATTTTTCTAAAAAATACTTGATTAATTTATTTATACTTTTGTACACATTAAAATATGTCTTGATGGCATTCTCTACCAGTCAACCATTACGCTAAACAGAGAGATTAAATGACGGTGTATTGGTCTAACAAAATTAATTTGTAAATTGTATAAATATTTTGATTGATAACAACATTAATACATTTTAAGATGAATGAACATACATGCATATACAATAATATACTTACAAAAATTATACATACATAAATAATATACAATACAATACATACATGTAGGTGTAAATAACTATATGTAATATATACAAGTCATGGCTAATCATACAACAATATAATTTGAAGTTATTTATTATTGTAATAATTTGAAGTCATGTTCAAGAAGGGACTTTTTGGTGTGAATAGGTGGTGCATTCCAAAAGTTGATGGCTGAGGTGGTAAAATATTGAGAGCAGAAGTTTAATAGATAGATGGAGGTATACAATAGCTGATTTATTTATTTCTTATTGCATTCCATAATATAATTAGTACATAACATTTCAATTCTGGACCCTGTTGATTAAAACTGGAATGACGATCTCGAAAGTGGGTTATACATAAAAATTGGAATCTGTCTTTAAGATACTGAGGAGATTAAGGGTTATAAAGAATTGTAAAAGATTCCAAAGAATTTTAACACCACTGTGCAAGTGAATCGGAAGCCATTTTAGTTCAGAACGAGTTTAGTTTAGTAAAAGGATCCATGGTTTTTTTTGGAACCATGGAATGATAACCCCGCCTGCGCTAACGGGATACGCTGGCGGAGCACCAGTGAAGGGTGATAGATGAGAATGAAAACAGACCAGTTAGCCCATCATGATGAATTCATCAGGAATTAATCACGATAGTTTCCAGGGGGAACCGCGAGGAGGTCGACCTAGTTGGGTATATTGCTAGCAATGGGATTGTCAGTCTCCATTACTAACAATCCCTTTCCCCCCAAGGATCCATGGTTACAGTTGTATCTTTACAACTTTCATCTCATTTACTGCTTTCATCCTCACCTATCTTCACCTTACAGGTGTTCCGCTTGTGTATATCGATAGCGTAGGCAAGGTTGCTATTCCATTATCATCCGTTAAAAAAATGTAGTACTTATATAATTTAGATCTAAATTTCCACCGGAGATGTTCACCACTAGTTTCTTATATTACTTAAACGATTTCTTATTTATAACGCGTTTCAACTTCATTTTTTTTACAGCACGTCGAGGCAAAGTTAACTGAAAGCTAAGTTTTTTAAAATTGCAAGAAAAAAAAAACTAAATTAATTTTATTTTTGTATTAAAACTAAAGATACTTTGATTTTATTTAGAATTGTGATAAACAGCAATGATATTTAGGTAGTTAATACAAAAAAATAACATTGATATTTGCGTGGACATCTTACTATATCGGATTATGCGTTCTCATTATCTTATTATGGATGTCTATATAAATCTATTTAAATATAATAATAGAATTTAAAGCCAGTACATTTTTATCTATGATAAATAATTAAAATGTAATCCCGATTAATTTACATAGAACTACTTACCTAATTAGGATGATTAACTACGTACCTACCTATATATGTATCTAAATTTTTTTATCGCATTATATTCTTATATATAGGCATAGATTATATAGATAGAGTATCTCTATACAAAAATAGGCTAATTTTTTTTAAGCCATGTAGGCATAGGAATATATGATAACCATATCGTAATGTTTACCAGAGGGAGACTTTGTACAAAAGTCGTTTGCTTGAGCACCTCTGTTCAATTCGTGTTTCTACCGTGAAGCAGTTGTGTTCCCATGGCTGTGTTTCGGTTTGAAGGGTGGGATATGCCGTGAATTTACAGGGTACAGAGGAATAACACCCGAGTCCTCAGGAATGGCAACGCATGAGGAGTATCATGGGCGAAACAGTATACTCTGTTATGTCCATGGTACTGCTCATGTCTATAGGCGACGGTAACCACTTCCCATCAGGTGGGCCGTCAGCTTGTTTGCCATTCTAAATTGTATAAAAAAATGTACGAGTACATTTATTACTCAGTATATGGCATCATCATTTCAGCCTTTATGCGTCCACTGCTGGACATAGGCCTCCCCTATAGACTGCTATATCGGTCCTGAGCCACCTGCATCTACTGACTCCCTGCAAAACATTTAAGGTCGTCACTCCATCTAGTGAGGGATCATCCTACAATGAGTTTGCCCGTATGGGGTCTCCACTCAAGAACCTTTCTTCCCCATCGGTTGTGGGTTGTTCGAGCTATATGACCAGCCCACTGTCACTTCAGCTTGCTTATCCTTCGGGCTTCGGCCATATTTGTACATTTTTATATTTTTCATTCGTTAGAAAAAATGAGAAAAAATAATTCCCCATCCTTGCCCCTATATCCAAGGTTACAATTTATAAAGTTATACTTACGTGAATATTACATAAAAAAAATAAAGTTTCCCCTTCCATTTGTTTCAACTCTGCCGTTCACAGACGCATTTACATGTACATACATATTTTAGACTAACAGCGTATTAAAATATGCCATTAGAAGTGTTTTTTAATGGACGACAATGAAATGGTAACCCCGCCTGCGTTATCCGAATACGCTGGCGGAGCACTAGTGAGGGATGATAGGTGAATATGGAGCGAGTCAGTTGACCCATCGTGATTAATTCATCAAAAATTAATCACGATGGTTTCCAGGGGGAACCGCGTGGAGGTCGACCTGTTAGGGTATATTGCTAGTAATAGGTCTGTTGGATCTCATTATTAACAATCCCTGTCCCCCCCCCCACAAAAAAAAGATAGTTCAGTTAGCCTATCGTGATGAATGCACCTAGAATTGAACATGATGGTTTCCAGGGAGGACCACGTGGAAGAGGAGGACATGTTTGGGTATATTGCTAGCAATTGGACCCTCACTTTCCCCTTCCCTCCCTCAGAACAGATGGATAAAAGCTTATAAAAGTCGATCATAACACCTACGGAATAGTAACCATTTGTCTGGGGGGAAAGGGGTTGTTAGCAATGGAGTTTGACAGCCCCATTGTTAGCAATATCGACCTCCACGTGGTTACCCCTGGAAACCATCGTGAACAATTCTTATTGAATTCGACACGATGGGCTAACTGACCTGCTTCATCCTCACCTATCATCCTTCACTGGTGCCCCGCCGGTGTATACTGATAGCGCGGGTAGGGTTACCATTCCATTATCACCCATTAAAAAAAACCATTCGTCTGAAAATATTTGAGTGTATTTACCACGAGTATGTACGCTTCCTTAGGTAGATTACTTGCTTTTAAACTTCAAGTGTTACCTACACTTGAAGTTTAACGAACGTGTTAAGAAACATACAAGAACACAAATGTACGATTGATTTAACAGTTATAACAACTTTTCCCTTACGATTGATTATGAACACTGATCTCTTATAACTAAGTTCACAAATCATATATAGATAAGTAATATTTAAACGGTCATTTTACATGGACGTTCAGATGTTTACATAGGATACATTCGTTTACCTTTCATTCAAAGTTTTTAGCATCGACCGACCACCATTGCTTCGGCACGCGTATAAGTGTGCCTGCAGACCTGAATGAAGCAAACAGGTGTTGGTGACTGAGAAACTGAGAACTGTTTTATCATCATCATATAGATAGATAGATAAACTTTTTATTTGAGCCATTTATGACACACGTAAATTTACAAATGAGTTTATACAATCAAATTATTTACACTGTTTAAAATATACAACAAAAGATAAAAATATGAAAATATGGTTTCGCCATGTGTGTCGCAGTGACCCAAATAGGCTACAGCTCAGTGATGGTTTTGCTTAAAAGCAAAGCACTGATTTTCAGCTGCTGTAACCTGTGTAACCAACTTAACAGCCAAAGATAACATTGTATTACATAGATACATACTTATATAAATAATGCATAAATATTATATTTCATTAATTAATTAAACATACAATATTAATAATTTACCACAATAATTATTATGTTGAAACCAGGCGACCAACCAAGTTTTTGTTTAGTTAATAAATGCTGTTTTAATAACTTTATAAAAATTGATTTGGATGCAGCCTTTAACTGTCCGCTGCTAAACATAAGCCTCCCCCATGGGGTTTTTTTTAATGGATGATAATGGAATGGTAACCCCGCCTGCGCTAACGGTATACGCTGGCGGGGCACCAGTGATAGATAAGTGAGGAGGAAAAGGCAGGTCAGTTTGCCCACCGTGATGAATACGCCTGGAATTCAGCACGATGGTTTCCAGGGGGAACCACGAGGAGGTCGACCTGACAGGGTATATTGATAGCGATGGGGCTTCTAATCCCCATTACTAACTATCCCTTCTTACCCCTCCCCCATATCCTATTCTATGTCGGGACCAAATGGCGAAATTATGTTAAAATGATAGTAATATACTTTTTTTAATAACTGAAGTCCTCGAAATTGTAAATCCTGCCCCCGAATCTCACAGTATTATTTATGTCAATAAATAAACCGTAATTAGAAAAAAAAACACAATCTAATACAATATCTATTATTTTTACTAAGTAAATCTAGATAGGGCAACGCATGAGGAGTATCATGGGCGAAACAGTATACTCTGTTATGTCCATGGCACTGCTCATATCTATAGGCGACGGTTACCACTTCCCATCAGGTGGGCCGTCAGCTTGTTTGCCGTTCTAAGCTGTATAAAAAAATAAGGACACTTATAGTTACGAATTGTGGGGTAAAATAAAAACTACATCTTTAATGGTAATATTTAATAACAATATATACACAGGTACTAATTGTGTACTATATTTTACAAATATAATAAAATTATAACTTAATAAGAGCAACAGAAGCTAAAACAAGTTTTTTTTTTTTTTTAATTTTGTCTATGTGTTTATTCAGGCATCACGCAAAAATAACACAAAATTGTAGGCGGTATTGACAGTTGTATTTCTGACGGTCTAATTAAAAAATTCCTTGTTCTTAGTTTAAAAACTGGTTTACCTATATTTTTTAATTTCATACGTCATCTATAAGTGACGTATTGTATTGGGTTTTCTAATTTAAATTATAAAATAAAAAAAAATAGGTACAGAGTAATGGGCAATGAGCACACGAAAATAAAAATCAAGAACAAATAGTGCAGCTTATATGGTTATAAAAGAAAGTTGAAGATGAATAAAATTTCTCAGTGCACTGATATTTAAGACAAGGTTGTCTGGAAGACATTGCTTAGCAATAACACCGCCTTTTGTATTACACTATACTTATCGAAAAATTTTCAATATATCCTGTAATTTTGGTGCAATACAGTATTAAAAAATAAATAAATAAATAAATAAATTTATCTCTTGATCAAATTTCTAATAATGTTTAAAGCAATCTACATTGTTTACTCCTACAGGGATCTTAAGAGGACCTTCAACTTTTGTGAGTGTCAATGTGTGGGAGTCCCGCTTCACAGTACAGTTGGTTCCAGAATTCGACTCTCTCTCGGTTGGCGGCATGCTCCAACATCAGGGGCTCTCCAATGTGTAAGTATTCCTCGCCCGTTGTTGTATACGGCTTCCACTTCACGCCGAGGCTCTGATCTGGCGTTGGATCACTGCAAGTATGCAATTAAGTACCTTAATGTAGATAAAATAGATTTTAGATTAATAGATAGAAATAACAATAAGTACATACTCATAATTATTGAGAGGAAAGGATAGAAATTTGCAAAGCATTATTGAATAATAATTTTTTCATTACTGCTCATTTGAAACGCAATTTCAGCTAAGAAGAAAGGCAAGAAAGAAAAATCTCTTTTGCTTTTTTGAAAAAACCTTAATTAATTGGAACTTCACTGTTATATCCTACCCTTTATACCGAATTAAAGCCATGCAAACACAACTTCTTCACGGCAGAAACGTGAATGGGAAAGAGGTACCTAATTAGGGACTACTCACACTTATTCAGCTCCATTCGCGTTTCGCTGAATGATTTTGGTCACACTTATACAGCTCTGCTTCTATCAGCCGCGTAAGGCGTCGTAAGAATGAGAAAAGCCGTCATAGCGTGCTATGTCCGCTAAAACGCTTGTCTACTGCGTACGGCGTTGAATATGCTACAATTTGTAACAATAAAATAATTATAATTACTATAAAATACGTATGCACTCTTTAATCCTTGCGTACATAATGAGTACGCAATTAAAAAAATTAAATCAATGCAGAAACAATACAGATCGCAACTTGTTGACAAGGAGTCGCGAAACATCCCTGTAAAGAGCTATTTCGCCGCGTTCGACGGTGAACGCGGCGGAACAGCGCTGAACGCTCTCTATAGCATTCGCATGATAAATACACATTTATCTTCATTTTATACTGAATTACCGCGAAAGCAGAATAGACGCGGAAAGTTGAATGGATGCGTACACGTCTCCATACAAAATCGTTGTTTTCTATGGACAAAAGCTGAATAAGTGTGAGTAGTCCCTTAAACGACTTTGGTACAAAGTCTACCATTAAATTAAGTTTTTATACGGCGATTTGATACGTTTCAAAGTCCAGATTTCGTTATCTACTTCGTTATGGGTCACCTACTGGTCAAAGCAACAATATATGCATATTACAGTAATTAAGCAAACATTGGCACCTATAAATAGGCCATAATTAATTAACATAATGCACTTAGCATTAATCTAAATGCCTATATTTATGGTTAATTATTATATAAAGCAAATGTACCTTTTGAATGTTTTAGGAAAGATATATAATACAAATTTAGCTTTGACAATAATATTCTGGAAATGTTTTCGGTATAAACTGTACGGAGTTTAGTTCACAATTCTTTATTATTGAAATTATTAGAATTGAACAAGGATTAGTAGTTATTAAAAAATCTGCAATAATAACAACATTGAATTCAATATCAATTGAATACCAGAGGGAGACTTTGTACAAAAGTCGATTGCTTGGGTACCTCTGTCCCATTCGTGTTTCAACTGTGAAGCAGTTGTGTTTGCATGGCTGTGTTTCAGTTTGAAGGGTGGGATATGGCGTGAATTTACTGGGTGCAGAGGAATAACACCTGAGTACTCAGGAATTTCAACGCATGGGGGGTATCATTGGCGAACAGTATACTTTTTTATGTCCATGGTACTGCTCATGTCTATTGGCGACGGTTGCCACTTTCCATCAGGTGGACCGTCAGCTTGTTTGCCATTCTAAGTTGTATAAAAAAAATCAGAAATATTTCCATAATTTAAATCAGTAATAACAGGTAAGTATATAAATTAAATAACTAAGTAAATTAAATATTAAAATGATGAGAGGCATACCTAGTTTTAGCGAAGTTAGTCCATAACTTTGTGAGTGTAAACACCAATTCTCTAACTCTTTCCTGCTCTTTGTATAGCTCCTTGGTGGATTTACTAGAAAATAGGTACAATAGGTCTTCAGTATGGCACATCCCTTTCACATGCGACATCCCAAACAGTTTCTTAAAAGAATTTAAATCAGTATCGTAATCAAGCACATATTGGTAAATTGGTTGGTCTGACTTACTATACAAATGTACAAATCTACTATTATTATATATGTAATATATATCAGATAACATATCTATTTGTGCTTCTATCACTTCAGCAGTAAAGTCTTTGTCACCCACATAAAACCTCTTAATACATTCTCCAAACTCCTTCATTTTCTCAGTAGATACTTTGTACATAATTTCTTTGGGAACAAGATATTCTGGATGTTTACTTCTAAAGTTTGCTTTCTTTCGTATGACTCCAATCATACTTATGGATTCTGATGAATTATAACCTGTTATTATTGGAAATTTACCGATATCTCCAGTAACTAGAGCATCAAGTGGATCCACAGATAAAAAAGACTTCACATTATCAAACTTCTTCTCAATAACAGGAGTAAAAAGTAAAGGTAAACCTCTGTTTTTCTCTTCTTCGGTTATGATTTTAAACGTAAGTCCCAAAAGATCAGTCGCAGGGACACTTTGAAGAAATTTTAATAATTCTTTAGGATTATCAGTATGTTTTCCTAATATTTTGCCAACTCTAAAAGCTGTCGATTTTGCATCTCTATTGATCACCCAGTCATCTAAACATGTTCCACTTTGTGCTATAGCTTTGTTGAACAAGCCATTCGACATTGGTGAAATTAAATGGCATGTTACTGACACTCCACCTGAACTTTCACCAAAGAGGGTTATATTGTTTGAATCGCCACCAAATTTGTCTATATTGCTTTTTATCCACTTAAGAGCAGCAACTTGATCTTTGAGACCTGCATTTCCTGATACTTCAGGAATATCTAGATTTAAGAAACCTAGTAGATCAAGTCTATAGTTTAATGTTACTAATATAACATCATGTTGCAAGAGAAAATCTGGACCATACGCATCTGAATTACCTGATCCCTGCAAATAAGCACCACCATGGATAAATACCATAACAGGTAATTTATCACTCGGTGCAAGTGATTTTGTGTATACATTGAGAAATAAACAATCTTCATTTCCTTCAATCCGTTGGGAAGTTAATGTGTCAAATTGAGGGCATACTGGGCCATGTTTTATTACTTCACAGACACCTTCCCAAGACTTGGGAGGTAATGGAGCCTGAAAATATATACATTACTCTTGAAAAATGTTTTTTTTTTTTATATAACTTATAACAACAAACAAGCCAATGGTCAACCCTTGGGAAAAATATAATTTTCAATTTTTTCACTGCATAATTACATTTTTGTTTTGTTAAAGTAGTATTAAATCTGCCTTTACCAAATATGTTTTGTAATGTGGTCAATAAAGAATAAATAAATAAATATTTCTATATGTTTAACAACTAAATTAAATAACCCACCTTAAATCTCAGCTCCCCAACAGGTGGCTGTGCATAAGATATTCCTTTGAAGCTATAATATGGTGATCCATCTAATAGATTATGTGTTGAACCTTTCAGTTTACCTTGCTCGACCCTCACTATGGGATTACTGGACAGGTTCCTCTGAAAATAATAGTAAGGAAATATAGAATATAATACAACTACTAATTAATGACTGATTATTAAGATGTTTAATTGAAATCAAACATATTTCACAGACAGATCATGTATCATCAATTACTCAATGAGCCATGGAGAGGGCTATGCTCGGAGTTTCTTTGCATGATAGAATTTGAAATGAGGATGTTCACAGAAGAAGCAAAGAGGGTCTCTTTATACACAGCCTGAAGGATAAGCAAGCTGAAGTGGCAATGAACTGATCACATATCTAGAAAAACCAACAAGCAATAGGGAAGAAAGGTTTTTGATTGGTTACCATATACAGACAAACTCAGTGTAGGATGACGCCACACTATATCTAGTGCGGGATAGACCTCAAATTCATTGCAGGGCGTCAGTGGATGCTGGTGGTTTAGGATGTTGCTTATGGCAGTCTATGATGAAGGCCCATATATAGCAGTAGACAGATAACAGCTGAGATGATTAATGATATAAAAAAAGTAAGTAAAATTAAATATATATATGATCAGAAGACTATTACCTTATATCTATAAGGCCTAAGAGGTAATCAGACGCATTTATCACCTGTTGCTTTTATATTAAATATAGCATTCGAACGTCAAAATTTTGCTAAATATAAATAGTGTTTAGATACCTTCAGAACAAAACTAATCCTACAATAGCTGATTTTCCTCAACAAACACATAGCAACGATAGACATGATGTAGGAAATTTTCAAATCGCAGAAAATAAACTAAAAAAAAACTTTATTAATATAGTACACTACAGAAGTAATAGTTATCAACTACAGGGCTCACTCGTATGCAACACAATAAAATATAAATAATAAAAGTAAATACCTATTAATAAAGATATTTTAAATTCTGTAATCCATGATTGCTGATAATGTTTTTATTTTTCTCTTCACCGATTAGCTAATGCCAATGTCAAGTCAACTATAATAATTTTTTTTTTTTTAGTACGTTTGTTCCGTTTGGAACAGGCTAAGGTCGGAGACCATGCTGCCTAGTCTTCAAAAAGAATTTGTCTGGAATTTTATTTTTCTAATGTCGCTTCAATTATTGTCATAATCTTCAATATTTCATTTGTCAAATCCGGTAAGTACATTTTCATAAATATCTTTTCTTGAGTTTTCTTAAACCAGTGGATTTATCAAATTAAAAATAAATAATTATAAAAAATCATTGTCTTGCAATTCAATAAAAGTATTCTTATAGCTCCTTGAATGTTGTAGTAATATAAGTGAAAATAGCTTTGAAACAAGAAGGAAATCTTAAGAGAAGCGGGATTGAGTGCGGGATATTTTCGGGTTTTTTGAAGATAATCCTAAGTTCGTCAAACATAATGTGTCTTTGAATGACAAATTCAGAGCAATCAAAAAAAAAAGGTGATGTAGAGATTGGGCTGTATTTGAGTTACACCATGTGCATGATGGGGAAGCGATCATGCCCATTCGGTGCAGGTGTTCGTTGAAATGTCCGTGGCCGATTCGTAATCTACAAATATTGGTGTAAAATTTTCTGTTTGTGTCTTTTCCTTTGCAGAACCACGGTTTTCCAATACGCCAATTAATTTTGCGGTACCATTTGCCTTTAGTCTGTAATATTTGAGTCCAATGCTCCTCCCATTTAGTTGTAACGATTTTATGTATTCCAATACTACAATCTGAGTAACAAAGGGGTAAATCTTGAACACGAGCAGCACTTGAATTAATAATTTTAGCCAAAGTGTCTACTTGTTCATTCCCAAACACTCCAATATGTGAAGGGGTCCAGATGAAGATAATATCTTTTCCATATATAGTACAGAGATGATAATATTTATTACGAATTTCTTGAATTAAGTAGTTTGATGATGAAATGATTGTGTTATTTTTTAATGCCATAAGAACACTCATACTATCTGTAATTATAATCCATTTCGAATATAGTACCTGTTTTTCTATGTATTCTAATGCTAAAAATATAGCTTTTGCTTCTGCTGTGTAAATACTAGCCAAAGTTGAAATTTTATAACCGTGACCAAATCTATTTGACAAATCGTAAAAAGCCACTGAAGTGCTAAGTGCATTTTTGGAACCATCTGTATATATCTGCCTGTAGTCAATAAATTCTGATAAAGTCTCATACATATCGTGCTTTTCTTTTATGTCTTTACGTATAACAATTTTGATCTTACAGAACTTACTCTCATAAAGGCCATTATAACAAGGAAGTATCTTACTACTATAGATGTTATATTCATCTCGTAAATTCAAATCATTGACAATAGTTTTATTCAAAAACATAGAAATGGGGCAATTTAATAATTTGAGTATGAGTGGGTTATTGGAAACTGAAAAAACTTTGAAGAGAAATTTGAGTTTTAGGTATTCGAAACGAAGAAGGATAGGAGGCAAATTACATTCTACTTGCATTGAGATAATTGGAGAAGTATACATAGCACCTAAAATAAGTCTTAAATTCATATTTTGAATTTTTTCGAGTTTTTCTACTAATTTATGTTCTGAGGCATAACAAAAGAAAGCGTAATCAAAATTACTTCTAACAAGAGATTTGTAAAGTAAAAGGATAATTTTAGGATCAGCTCCCCAGTTACGACCAATTACAGATCTTATTATATTAGTGGCTCTTAAAGCACGATCTACTAAGCAATCAACGTATAGATCCCATTTTAAATTTTGATGAAAAATTACCCCCAGAAATTTAACGCTACAGTCTGTTGGAAGAGTTTGATTATTATATATAATATTCATTAATGGAACATATTTATGAACTTGATGAAAAACAACTACTTTACTTTTGGTTAAACTAATATCGAGGGAAAGAAGAGAAAAATATTTCTCAAGTCTTTTTAATGACTCATTTAACACTAATTGCATATCAATAATATTCTTTCCTTTTATATAAATTAATAAATCATCGGCAAATTGCAAGTTGTTCACACTGTTTCCTAAAATTGAATTAAGTTTATAGATATATAAAATATATAGTAGCGGGCTTAGAATACCACCTTGACATACTCCTTTAGAGCTTAACCTAGGTCCTATTAATTTACTATTTACTTTAACATACACTTCTCTATTACTAAGAAAATTATAAATCCATTCGATAAGTTTCATTGGAAGAAATGAGGATAAAATCGAAGATAGAACTGTTAAATTTACATTGTTAAAAGCTCCTACGACATCTAAAAAAACAGATAGAACATATTCATCGTTATTCAAAGCAGTACTAAGGTCGACATAGAAGTTCGCTAAACTTTCGCGCGCTGAATATCCACGGCGAAAACCAAATTGATTCGATGGTAATATACTATTACTTTCAATAAAGAACTCTAAACGCTGTTTAATTAATTGTTCGAATAATTTGCCTGCACAGGACGTCAATGTTATAGGTCTATAGGAGTCGAAATTTGTAGGATCTTTACCGGGTTTAATTACTGGAATCAAACAATCCATTTTCCATTCTGGTGGGATAATACAGTCCTTCCATAAATCGTTAAAAATTTGTAAGAGTTTAGTAAGGTTTATTTTATTCAGCAATCGAAACATATTGTATGTTAAGCGATCAAGGCCACTAGCTGTATCTTTTCTAGATTTTACTGCACTGGATATTTCATCAATTGAGAATGGGTCAGTGAGAAATTTTGGGCATGAATTAACAGAATTAAACTGTTTGTCATCAAAAGGTGAGTGTACAAAATCAGGAGTATATTTGCGTAAAAAATCATTGACCCATGATATATCTTTAAAATGATTTTGACGATGTTTTGAATTTAGTTTTCTCATATTTTGCCAAACAGTGGAAATTGGTGTTAATCTATTAAATTTGGAACAAAATTCCTGCCACCCCTGTTGTCTTACTTGCTTAATTACTAACTTTTTAACAGCTTGAACTCTTTTAAAATTTATGTAATTATCGAGAGTTGGATTTTGTTTAAACCTAAGGTAAGCCGCTTTACTATCATTGACAGCTGTCGCACACCTGTTATTCCACCAAGGTACTGCAATATGTTTGTGCCTCTTTGAAGTATTTGCACCGCTATTTGATAAGTTCCTACGTGGAACGGAACGTTCCACAGCTGTCAAAATAATTTTACAGAACCTATTGTAATTGTTTAAGGGTTCATTGACATCATACTCGAAATCCAAAAGTAATTGATTAACAGTTTCAGAATAAAGATCCCAATTAACGAGACGTAGGTTTATACGATTTAACAAAAGTTTATTAACTTCATCTATAGGAGCATGTTGTTCACCTGACGGAGTGTTTATTTTAGTAAAAGTCGGCAGGTGATAACTTCCTAACGGATCATCATGAACCGACCACTCGCATTTTAATGATATGGATGGGGATACCATAGTTAAATCAAGGCCATTGGGTCTCCAAATATGAGAGCCAACAGTAGTAACTTGCTTATCATTTAATAGTACCAAATTACATTCATCTAAACAATCAAGAATGTCTTTACCTCTTGTATTAGTGGAGGTACAACCCCACATAGTATGATGTGCATTTAAATCTCCAGATATGATAGTGGGTTTAGGAAGAGACTCCAAAAAGAACTTAAATTTGGCTTTAGTAAAACTAGGTGTACTATTGGTAGGACAGTAAATACTGGCAACTGAATACCAAGAATTATTAACTTCAATACTAATAGCTATAGTTTGCAAAGAATTGTCGAAAAAAGAGTGAAGTTTTTTATATCTAATACTATTATGTATAATAATCGCTACTCCATTGTGGTTATTACCACAATCATTTCATTCTATACAATAATCTTTAATTTTTAATTTGTAATGTGGTTTTAGCCAAGTTTCTGAGATGAGAGCAATGTGAATATGATGTTCATTTAAAAATTGTGTAAAAATATGTCGATTGCTCAGTAGGCTCTGAGCGTTCCACTGTATGATAGTTAATTGGTCTCGATTGAATTTTTTGAAATAGGTCTATTACCAAAAGTATCATATAACACATTCAAAACACTTTTAGTGTTAATAGATGTGTTCTTTGTGTTATGTAGTGAAATAAGTTTGATTATGCTTTCTATTAAAAGTGATAAACTCTTGTTATCAGAATTTAGAATTGAAATTAGGTCTACATTTTTTTTAGGTTTGTTACCCAGTTTAGGAAATATTTCAGTGCTAAGTATATCTCCAAAAGAAGCAGGTCTGAATTTAGATCTATTTTCAGCAATTTTCTTTTGTTTAACAGGGCATTGCGGTGATACACTTGTGTGATTTCCATTGCAGTGTACACAAATAGCGTTTTCCATTCCAGTTGTACAAGTTTTATAATTATGCTCACCTTTGCAGATGCTGCAACGCTCAGAATTCTTACAGAATTTAGCTAAATGTCCATACCTCAAGCACCGGTAGCATTGTTTAACTGGTGGTATATATGGAGTGACATTGTGGCGCCAACCTCCAATATCCAGATATTCAGGTAATACAGATGCAGCAAAAGTAATTGTCACGGTTAGAGTTGGCTGTAACACATATCCATGAGTCAAGGTATTTTTTCTTAAAATTCTTTTAATAGCAATAATTTTCTTAGAACTCGATATCATAGTATATATTTTTTTATTAGATATATTTGTAGGTACATTTCTAATAACGCCTGTAACTTCTGTTGAAGAAGCAGGAATACTGGCCTTAAAATGGTAGTCATTTAAAAAAGTTTTATTATTTAAAAAAGCATTGGCTAAGTCTGGCTTTTGAAAGTATACTCCGATTTTGAATTTATTTATAGATCTAAGATAAGTTACCCCTTTATTAAATCGTTTTAAACAGGAGGAGAGTGAGAGCAAGTCTCTGGATCCAATGGTTTTCTGACTATCTGAGGATTCTACAAAGACAACAAATTCTGTCCCAGGGGATTCCTCGGGATATCTTCTAATATAATCTGTGACGTAGTAAGGTTTATACTTATCGGCCTTATCAATTTCAGATTCTGAGTCAGTAGAAGTATCTTCCGAATATATATCCTTGTCATTACAAGGTTCATGGTCTACATCACCTGAATCGTCATCTTTTTTTTTCCTTTTTCTACAACTGCGCTTCCCCATGAATGCTAATTATATTACTGTCGCTGAATTTAGTGAAAATATAATATTTTATTCAATAATAAGAATTGATAGAGATAGTTTTAATAAATTAATAAAAAAAATTTAAAAAACCCGCTTGTTCTTATTCGAGTTTCCCGCCTTTTTTTTCAACTATAATAAAATTTTGACAGTTGACAGTAACTAGCAATGCGCTACATTACTTATCTGACAATTAATTTACAACCGATCAATTAATTCAGATTAATCGAATATTTAACAAATCATTCGATTACTATTTTCATCCGACTAGTAATTTCGTATGATCACAAATTTCATTCATGGTACATTTTTACTAATCACAAAAATCATTTATTAGTTTGTTCGAATCGCTACTAACGTAGTTGAGTCAACCCAATCGCTCAGAATGTCCTTTTTTTTAATAGTCAAGCATTATGCCAATTTATTATATTTAGTAAAAAGTAGCAATATTTGACATTTATCAAAGTAAATTTGTAATAATTTAAATGAAAGAAGTTGTTTTTTTTTCTTTTTTTGATCGTCAGTCGTATCAATTATTGTGAAGGAATAGTGTAATAGGAGTGGATACAGGAAAGAAATTTATTATCAATAATATTACATAATTTAGATTTACATCGATCACTAATTGGTAAATGCATTGGAAACTAATATTAACATATTATTAATTAAGTAATCGAATTATAAAATTAGTAATTCCTAATTACTTCAATAATAAAATTATTCAAATTCGTGCACCACTAAAAGTAAGTAATATATAGCACAGAATTGATTTGGTTATAAAATACTTTGTTTAAAAAAAATTAAATACGATTTTTTTGTATAAAGCCCTCAAAATTATTTACAATCACTTGAATGTCCCCAATTATTATAAATACATATAAATTTACATTAACTAGTAATTTTGTAAAATAAATGTCTGTTTTTTTTTTTATCAAATATATTGATATAGTTGTCAAAAAAATTTAAAAAATATATAAAAAGTACCCGTCTTGCTTCCCACGATTAAATTAATATTAAATACACATGCTCCAATAAAACTAGATTTTTATGAATCTACATTTCAAATATCAACTCAAAATAATAATAATAATAAAAAAAGATTCTTAACGGAAAGAATCACATCTCTACTTGATAACTAAATTTTTTTTGTTAAATATATTTAATGTATTTGACAAAAAATAGACATTGGTTTAAAGAAGAAGAATAAAGATAATAAGATTGTTAAAATTATAAAACATCTTACCGCAACGAATTATTAGTGTTGATCTTTTATATATTATATGTATAAGTCCCGACTTTATTTTCATTTCTCACCAAAAATCAAATAACTATATTAAAAAAAAAAAAAAACTAAATTATCATATTTATAAGAATTTTATAATAATTACTTGCAACACTGAGAAATGGCGCGCTTTGTTTCGGTTCCTTGGTAATTATTGTTTCTATAAGTTTTATTGTACACATTTGATACGAATATTCAAGATAGCTTTAAGTTACTCAGCGGATTATGGAGAGAGCTATGGACTATGGGCTATGGACTCTCTTTGCATGATAGTATTCGCAAAAGAACCAAAATAACCGACATAGCCCGAAGGATAAGCAAGCTGAAGTGGCAATGGGCTGGTCACATAGTTCGAAGAATCGACAACCGATGGAGAAGAAAAGTTCTTGAGTGGCGATCACGTACGGGTAAACGCAGTGTAAGACGACTCCCCACTAGATGGAGTGATGACTTGAAATGCATTGCAGGGAGTCAGTAGATGCATGTGACCGTTTATGGCTAACACGACGATGATGAGTAAGAATTAAATGTGTGATATTTTTTGTGTTCGCACGTAGTTTATGCCTAATACATTTTAATATATGTAGTATAATCCTGGGCTTTAAGCAAGATATTCAGACTGTGGTATAAGGTAACTATTTTTATTTATTTATTTATACTTTTCCACACATTGGAAAATATCTACAGAGCGGACGCACTATTTTATATTTTTATAATTTTATTGTCATCAAAGAAGATAAAAATAACTCGATGTTTATGAATATAAATTTATTTATTGAATATCTATGTACATTATCTATATATTAAAATATGAAGCAAAAACTTTCTATCCCTTTTTACAGAAACTGCGCGGACGGAGTAGGATGTAATTTATAGTTTATATAAAGAAGGAGTGCAGAATTTAGGTGCAATATACTAATATTTATTTTAAAATTATGCATAAAAAATATATTAAATCAATAAAAAAAAACATACACACTACCATGTCTTTGACACACACACACACACACACACACACACACACACACACACACACACACACACGGACACACATATGCATATATACTCTTTTGTTTATTGTTAAAGTTTGTGGTCAAATTCTCGATTAATAATATCATTAACATTGCTTGCCTTTAATATTATTTGTCTATAGTCTTACTAAATGTTAAACATAACCATAATAAATTCATTTATTACAATATATGTTACGGTCGAATATCGACCACTGAACGACCGCTAGTAATAAGTAATAAGATAAAAAAAAAAAAAATTAGGTTTAATATGTAGAAATGTTGCAGTGCCCTTTAAAATTTTTCTTTTAGGACGAAAGATGGAAGATACCAAAGAGGGAATTACGTAGGAGGAATGATAAAATAAAAATTGTAAATTGTATGGTTGCCTTCTTTCTGCTTATGCTAAAATAATTAGTAAAAAGAGGACGAAAGATACATCATCAGTTGCTATTTTTGTCAATTCATAGCAGGCTAGTGTATAGAAAATGTTTGATATGTCAAATATTCAACAATAACAAATTTTACATTACTATATTATATGTTCGACACAGTTTATGTAGAAAGTATGCAAGCAGTTTGTATCTGAATTTGGTAGGGTTATATGGCCGTATAACATTTTCTATACACTAGCCTGCTGTGAATTGACAATTTTATCACACCTATGTAATTCCTTGATTTTAGTAACAACGCGACAGTTTTATTGTATATGATTCCTAAATTTATGGTTTGAAAATAGCCATTGAATATGTATAAAATCCACTGATTGTGGATTGACTTAGTTTCTTTTAATATTTAACAATTTTAGGTTTATAAATTAATATTTTATATAATTCTATCATATTTATATTTTTAAATTATACTATTGGTGTAACTGGAAACGCACTCAGCAAGAATATATCTGAGCCAGCTTGATCCAATAGATTCGAATTCGATTGAATCAATTAGGAAGCTGATGTAATTTTACCAGTATAATTTTTTTACACATCATGAGATTTAAAATAATATCTTCCAAATAACAACGTCTATAAACGCAACATTATGGATCTTGAAGGAATGTTAGTCTCTTAGGAAAATCATTTAAATAGCTTTCACTTGTGAGTATCAATGTGTGGGAGTCCCGCTTCACAGTACAGTTGGTTCCAGAATTCGGTTCTCTCTCGGTTGGCGGCATGCCCCAGCGTCAGGGGCTCCCCAATGTGTAAGTATTCCTCGCCCGATGTTGTATACGGCTGCCACTTTACGCCAAGGCTCTGATCTGGCGTTGGATCACTGTAAATATGCAATTATATACTTTTATAATCAAAAAACTACTGAAAGGGAAATAACTTTTTACGAGATAGTGGAATCGATTATTTTTTTTTTTTATATTTTGTAGCGGCAACAAAAAGATTCTTGTTATTTTGTAGTATTAAATGAGTATTAAGTAAATATCTTTCTATGCCTGTGATTAGAATAAAAAAAAAAAACTATGGCACTTATATTAATTTCCATGTCAATTAATTTCAAGACGATTTACACTTACAAATGTATAATTAGCACAGTATAATAAACTCTTTTAGTGAGGATACGTTTTGCCGCAAATTATATCCATTTATAGTATTTGAATTAAAAATTTTACAATTATATCAGGGTATTAAATTCATAACACGAGTAACATTTATATTTATATGTTCGTTGATATGAACTTAGGGTAGTTGTAATTAAGCCTATAATAGATTGGTACAGAATTTTTCAAATATACAATTTTAGTTTATGTAAAACAATATTGTCATATGAAATCTACAAACTACCTTTCTTTTTATATCTATAAAATAAATCTTTGTCAATTTTTATCTCAATATGTATACAGTAACAGTAACAGTCGAATTACAAACCTACTTGCATATTATGTGCTAAAAATAAATAGTGTTAACAGAAATAGGGACATACCCAGTTTTAGCGAAATTAGTCCATAACTTTGTTAGTGTAAACACCAATCCTCTAACTCTCTCCTGCTCTTTGTATATCTTGGTGGTATATTTACTAGAAAATAAATAAGATAGGTCTTCCGTATGACATGTCCCCTTCAGATGCGACATCCCAACTAGTTTCTTAAAAGTGTTCAAGTCAGAATTGTAATCGAGTACATATTTGTAAATCGGTTGATTTGACGTACTGTACAAATACGTAAACCTATTATTATTATATGTAAAATTTACATCAGACAACATGTTGATTTGTGCCTCAATTTCCTCAGCAGTAAACTCTTTGTCACCAAAATAAAACTTGTTAATCCGTTTTCCGAACTCCTTCATTTTCTCTGTAGATACATTGAGCATAATTTCTTTGGGTACGAGATATTCTGGATGCTTACTTCTATAATTTGCTTTCTTTATTATCACTGGTAACATCGAAATACATTCTGCCGAATTATAACCTGCTATTATTGGGACTTTGCTAATATTTCCCGTAGCAAGAGCATCGAGTGGATTCACATTTAAAAATGATTCTACATTATCAAAATCCTTTTCAATTGTTGGAGTAAAAAATATAGGTAGACCTCTATATTTTTCATCCTGAGTTCTTGTTTTAATGGTAAGTCCCGCGAGATTTTTAGCAGGAAGACTCTGAAGGAATTTCAGTAATTCTTTCGGATTATCAGTATCTTTTCCTAAAATTTTACCAACTCTAAAACTTCGTGGTTTTAGATCTTTATTCAGCGCCCAATCTTCTAAACATGTGCCACTTTGTGCTATGACTTTATTAAACAAGTCTTTTGATAATGGTGAAATCATATGATATAATACTGAAGCTGCGCCTGCGCTTTCACCAAAAATTGTAATATTGTCTGGATTACCACCGAATTTGTCTATATTGGTTTTAATCCACTTAAGGGCAGCAACCTGATCTTTAATACCTGCATTTCCTGGTACTTCAGGAATGTCGAGATTTAAAAATCCCAATACTTCAAGTCGGTAGTTTATTGTTACTAGTATAACATCATGCTGTAACAGAAAGTCTGGACCATACACATCTGAATTGCCCGATCCATTCAAAAAAGCTCCACCATGAATGAATACCATAACAGGTAATTTGTCACTGGCTGCAAGTGATTTTGTGTACACGTTGAGGTATAAACAGTTTTCATTTCCTTCAATTAACCGTGAAGTTATCATGTCTAATTGTGGACAAACTGGGCCATGTTTTAAGGCTTCATAAGTATTATTCCAAGATTTGGGCGGTAATGGTGCCTGAAAATTTAATTATATTTACTATTGTAATAATACTATATCATCATCGTATCAGCGTTTAACTATCCACTGCTGAACTTTTCCCGAAAACCATCTTGATTATTTCTTTATCATGACGGGTTAACTGACCTTTTATTTACATTTATCATCTTTCACTAGTACCCCGCCAGCGTAAATAAATAGCTCAGAGTTTACCATTCCATTCATCATCATTATATCAGCGTTTAACTGTCCACTGCTGAACCTAAGCCTTTTCCCTGGGGGGGTTTGCCAGTAGTTGCCATTTGCAGGCGGATTGGCAACCGCAGTCAGGCTTTAAAGATGTTTTAAGGGGGACGCTGCTGCTCATCCCTCGCCCTGCCTTAGTCGACTTTTACGACACCCACGGGAAAGGAAGGAGTGGCCTATTTTATGCCAAGATTACACGGGTAAAATACTATAGTAAAATATGACACTTTTTGTGTAGTGTTACTATGTAGCTATTTCATGATAGTATTAGTATAATCGTTCTATTAGTTAACAGTGATTTTGGCAAAATTTTAGAGAGCTATCTGGAAACGACATGCGGGCAGTGTTTTTGAATTTCATTTCATGGTAGACGCCCAGATTTTTATGGGTGATAAATCACTGTATGAAGACTATGATACGACACGACGAACTTATGAACATTATAATAGAAGGTAAGATAGAAGGAAGGAGGGGGAGAGGGAGACCGAGACATAGTTACATCAGGCAGATCAAGGAAGGAGTTTGTGTCGTGTCGAATCAAGAGGTGAAGAGACTCGCTTAAAATCGTAGTGAGTGGCAAGAGCTCCACCGACAAGAGCGCAGCTCTTAAATAGATAGAAAGAGAGAGAGGACTTCTTACACTGTGATATAATATAGGTAACCCACCTTAAATCTCAGCTCTCCAACAGGTGGCTGTGCATAAGGTATGCCTTTGAAGCTGTAATATGGCGCTCCATCCAAAAGATTATGTGTTGAACCTTTCAGTTTGCCTTGCTCGACCCTCACTACGGGATTACTGGACAGGTTTTTCTGAAAAATAAGTGGAACGAAATACAGAATTTGACATATCATATGATCAATATAATATTTTCACTAGAAGGAGACTTTGTACAAATGAGGGGTTATCATGGACGAAACTGCTCATGTCTATAGGCGGCGGTTACCACTTTCCATCAGGTGGACCGTCAGCTTGTTTACCATTCTAAGTTGCATAAAAAGAACATATTGTATACGTATGCATATCTCGATATGTATTTAAAAAAAGAACAGGGTTTCGTGCCTACAGTCAAATTGTTTATAATCACTCTTCTCCAATTATAGGATGCCTGGAAGAGATCGTTCTTAGCGATAAGGCCGTCCATTTTCTTAGTATAATATTTTCTTGTAATTGTTTGTGTTTATAATAAGTTTACTATTGTAATCTTATGGAGGAAACAATAAAGAGCATCTATCTATCTATATAAGCTGTGGGAAATAACTAGAAGTATTATATAATAAATTAATAATAAAAAGAAAATTTGTATTGCGCATCCAAAAAGAAAACAAACGTCGGATTTTGTAATATAATATAGTTATTTCTGAGACCATGGATACTATTAATTGGTTTATGGTGGTGATGTAACTTATCTTGGTAAATTTGTTCTAGTTTCCATAACTACTGTCCTTGTTAATTTTGAGATAGAAAATAAAGTTTTATCTCTTTTAATTATTAAGTTTAAACGCTGTAGAGTGCATGAATGGTCTCGTAATCCACCGTGTCTACCTTTGCGAGGTTCTAGACTTCGGATTTCTTATTATAGATTTACCAGAGGGAGACTTTGTACAAAAGTCGATTGCTTGGGTACCTCTGTCCCATTCGTGTTTCAACCGTGAAGCAATTGTGTTTGCGTAGCTGTGTTTCGGTTTGAAGGGTGGAATATGGCGTGAATTTACTGGGTACAGAGGAGTAACACCTGAGTCCTCAGGAATGTCAACGCATGGGCGAAACAGTATACTCTGTTATGTCCATGGTACTGCTCATGTCTATAGGCGACGGTTACCACTTTCCATCAGTTGGGCCGTCAGCTTGTTTGCCATTCTAAGTTGTATAAAAAAAAAGATGCTACACGTGACGTAAATTTTCTTCATCGTCATCAAATCAGCCATTAGCTGTTCACTGCCAACATAGGCCTCCCTCTTGGGGGGTTTTTCTAGTAGTTACTACGCTTGGACGGGTTAACGAATGCAGTAAGGCTTTGGTGATATATAAAGAGGGAGGTCGCTGCCCATTCCTCGTCCATTACGTTCCACGTAATCTTTATTTATATAAAAATGATATCATAATATGAACGCGATTATTTTATATTTTATCTATAACATATCAACAATAAAAATGAAGCACAAAAATAAAGTATTATGACATAAGTAATTACCTATTTAGGTATTTTAAGTTGATCGATGTGATTGTATCGATTGTGTTATTAGATAGATTATTATCTTTGCTATAATTATATATATATATATATATATATATATATATATATATATATATATATATATATATATATATATTATATATATATATATATATATATATATATATATATATATATATATATATTATTATCTTAGATAGCTACATAATATATTATATATGTTAGTTTATTTTTTTCTTTTATAAGTCATATATGGGTAGAATATTTATAAAAATCATATTTATAAAAACTAGAACCCTCTATAAATCTTTTTTTTTTTACGTAACTTAGAATGACAAACAAGCTGACGTCCCACCTGATGGAAAGTGGTAATCGTCGCCTATAGACATGAGCAGTCTCATGCACATAACAGAGTATACTGTTTCGCCCATGCGTTGACATTCCTGAGTACTCAGGTATTATTCCTCTGTACCCTGTAAATTTAGTGCCATATTCCACCCTTCAAACCGAAACACAACCATGCAAACACAAGTGCTTCACGGTAAAAACACGAATGGGATAGAGGTGCCCAAGCAAACGACTTGACAAAGTCTCTCTGGTAACTATTACACTAGGTAATAATAATAATAATAAATAAATTCTTTAATCAAGGCAACCAGGGCCCACAAAATTTTAACAATTACGAAATTTACCATAACAATTACATAACAATTACCATTTCTGTACCAAATATAAATTATTAAATTAAATTTTGACAGTAATAGTTAAAGTAAATTTGTAGTTGTGTAATAGATAAAATAGGTTAATGACATGTTTGACGTTTCTGTAAATAAGGGGTTTAATTTTTAAAAGGCTTTTACCTTCTTCAAGTATATCAGCCCTATCGTGTCCTGAACTGATTTCTTAGATATTGTTGTTGCTGTATGAGAAAAAGAAACATGGAGATTTTATGTTTTATGTATAATTTTTCTTTATTTTTTTTATAAACACTTTCCTTAGACTACGAAGAATATTTGAAAAAAAAAAAAAACTAGTCACATTAGCCCAGCTGTTGTCGAATGTTGCGCTTAGCAACAAATTAGCGATATATTTTTGTTTATGCAGATATGTATACAGATAAATACATACATACATTATAATCTTTTTACGTAAAGCTATATCTTTTCAATTAATAAACAATGCTAGTGACGTGGAATGATAACAAACCCTGATAATGTGTTTAATCTTGTTTAAACTTGTAAACTGGGGGGAAAAGGATTGTTAGCCATGGAGTTTGACAGCCCCATTGCTAGCAATATACTTTATTAGGTCGATCTCCACGTGGTTCCCCTGGAAACCATCGTGAACAATTCTTGTTGAATTCGTCACGATGGGTTAATTGACCTACTTCATCCTCACCTATCATTCTTCACTGGTGCTCCGCCGGTGTATACCAATACCGCGGGTGGGGTTTTTTTTTTACTGGGTGATAATGAAATGGTAACTCCGCCTGCGCTATCGATATACACTGCTAGGGCATCAGTGAGAGTTGACTGGTGAGGATGAAACAGGTCAGTTGGCCCATAGTGACGAATTCATAAAGAAGTAATCAAAATGGTTTCCAGGGGGAACCGCGTGGAGGTCGACCTGATAGAGTATATTGCTAGCTATGGGGAAGTTACATCCCCAATACTAACAATTCCTTACCCCCCCTAAACCCCGCGGGTGAGATTACCATTCCATTATCATCCGTTAAAAAAAAAACTTGTAAACTCGATCATGAAATTTGGCAAGAAGCAATGTCGTGTAGCACAAGTCAACAATATTTAATAAATAAATAAAAATCCAATTCAATTCAAGTAAAAGAAAAATCCGAAAACCGTAAATTGGTAGTTATTTCACAAAAAAAAAAATGATTTTGCACGAAACCCTCGTTGTGCGAATCCGACTTGCGCTTGATCAGGTTTTTTTTTGTATTGTATGTATTCATGCTTGTTTAATCTCTGATTGTGTTGCAAAAAAGTTGTGTACAAACATTCATGCACTAGATTATCGGCTTATTATTTCCTGACTGCATTTTTTTTATGGGTGATAATGGAATGGCGGGGCACCAGTGAAGGATGATAGGTGAGGATGAAGTAGGTTAGTTAGCCCATAGTGACGAATTCAACAAGAATTGTTCACGATGATTTCCACGTGGAAGTCGACCTGATAGGGCATATTGCTAGCAATGGGGCTGTCAAACTCCATGGCTAAGAACCCCTTTCCCCCCCTCCTGACTGCATTAGTCAGCATGAACTTTTAGTGATATAATGGTTCCATACTGTTCTGATAGATGCATATTGATGCAACTTGCCAATGCAAACTATTGTAAACCGATCCTAATTATAGCAAATTCCTAACTGTTGTTACATAAGTGCAGTATTTTTTTTTTGTTGGGTGAAAATGATATGGTAACCCCGCCTGCGCTAACGGGTTACGCTGGCGGAGCACCAGAGAAGGGTGATAGATGAGAATGAAAATAGGCCAGTTAGCCCATCATGATGAATTCATCAGGAATTAACTATGATAGTTTCTAGGGAGAACCGCGTAGAGGTCGACCTGGTTGGGTATATTGCTAGCAATGGGATTCTCAGTCTCCATTACTAACAATCCCTTTCCCCCCATGAGTGCAGTATTAAATTGTCATTAGCAATAGATTTGGATTGAGATCGATGTTGGATTCAAGAGTTATCCTACTGTTTGTTTGTTTGTTTGTTTGTTTGTTTGTTTTTTTATTGATTATTATTATAATTTAATTACTTTCTATTTGTATACAATTATTATTTTCTTTTGTTTGTTTTGTTTTGTTTTCTTTTGTTCTTGTTTTGTGCGCTACTGTGTGGGCCGCATGTTTCTTCGATTAAATTATTTCTTTCTTTCTTGATAAGTCCATTCTTGCTAACAAAATCTGTCACCAATCCATACAAATGATGCCTTTTTGTAGGTAATTAACGACTGGACATAGATATCTACACGAAATATTATTGTTTTTTATCTTTGCGTATATTTAATCGCCTGTATTTTTTCGAATCACTCTGATAATTTGATTGTGAAATACTATAATGCAAGGAACATTAATTTATTTGACACTAGTTGCGCCTACGTTAAATCGTTCGTATGTGCTTATAATTTTTTTTTTATACAACTTAGAATGGCAAACAAACTGACGGCCCACCTGATGTAAAGTGGTAACCGTCGCCTATTGACATGAGCAGTACCATGGACATAACAGAGTATACTGTTTCGCCCATGATACCCCCCATGCGTTGCCATTCCTGAGGACTCAGGTGTTATTTCTCTGTACCCAGTAAATCCACGCCATATCCTATCCTTCAAACCGAAACACAGCCATGCAAACACAACTGCTTCACGGTTGAAACATGAATGGGACAGAGGTACCCAAGCAATCGACTTTTGTACAAAGTCTCTATCTGGTTAATGATATGAACACGATAGGAGAATAATCTCTTCCATAAAAAAATAACATTAAAAATCGGTTAAAATTGACAAAAACATAATGCAACAGATACGTAAAAAATGTTATTAAAAGACCTCTCCTTCTACAAAGTCGGCTAAAAAATAAAAAAAGAATATACTTACCTTTTGAATAAAATGAATCCCACATCTTTTGTTTTGGCTGAACAAATACTTAGCAATTAGAGACATAATAATTAGATAATGGAAAATTCGTATTTATTCGCGTTTGAAATACCAAAGTTCTAATAAAACTTCAATAATACAGTAAAGAATACGTTATACCAATAAACACACGTGTATAACTACTAAAATATTATAATAAAATACTGTAATATAGCCATATTAAAATAAAAATAGATAATTTACATCGAAGACATTTTCGATTGATGATAGATCGTGATACGTATCTAATAAATAAACATGTGTACTTGATTTATTGTTTAAATACAGGGTGTGTATATTTATGTATAATCTATATTTATACTAATCACCAATGGACAGCTTTGCCAGTAGTTGCCGAACTTGGCAGGCGGATTGGCAACCGCTGTTAAGCTTTAGAGATGTTTTAAAAGGGACGTTGCTGCCCATCCCTCGCCTTTCCTTAGTCGATTCTTACGACTCCGATGGAAAGGAAGGGGTGGACTATTCTGTGCCGGGACCACAAGACGATTACTATTAATAATGTATCCTATATATATATATATTATATATATATATATATATATATATATATATATATATATTAGTGGAAAGATTTGATTGTTTGTTTGTAACATATGTACGAGTACTTAAAAACTACTATATCGATTTAAAAAAAAAATCTTTAACCTATAGAAAGCTACATTATCAGCGACTAACATAGGTTGTTGTTTTAATTTAACTTATTCGTAACACAAAGTATAAAAAATCTTGTTAATTAAAACTAATATAAATTAGATTGATCTTCCTTTCCACTTTGGGTTCGTTGGAAGAGAACTCTTTTAGAGTTAAGCTAGTCTTTGTACATTTGCTTACCTCTGTCATACAGTTATGTATTATTTGTGTGTACAATAAAGTATAAATAAATAAATACTATTTTTTTTTTGTCTATCTACCCGCACAAAGTCAGGGTGGATCTCTAGAAACAAATAAGATATGTAATAAACAAAATTGTAAATTTTGTTAAATCAAATTGTATACTGTTTCACTCATGATACTCTGCATGCGTTGCTATTCCTGAGAATACATACATACATACATATCTGTCACGCCTGTCTCCCATTAGGGTAGGCAGAAACAATGGAACGCCAAATGCTTCGATTCAAACAAACCTCTTTCGCTTCTTCCACATTCATCAATCTTGTCATACACGCTCGCCGGTTACGGGTACTTTTAATTTGGCCCTTCTTCAGCACGTCACCTATTTGGTCGACATACGTCCGTCTAGGGCGGCCCCTACCGACATCTCCATTCATTCTTGCTCCATAAATCTCTTTTGTAATTCAATTTCAATTCTTGAGAACTCAAGTGTTATTTCTCTGTACCCTGTAAATTCACTGCCATATCACTCTTCAAACCGAAACACAGCCATGCAAACATAACTACTGCACGGTAGAAAGACAAATGTGACAGAGGTGCCCAAGCAAACGACTTTTGTATAAACTCTCCCTCTGGTAAATTGGTTTCCTTTCCGGAATTTTTGCTATATTTGATAAACTTTACCATGCCAACTGGGTATCCTTATATTCGATTAATTAATTTAGCCCATAAATTTCCTTTGCACATCCTGTATTAGATACTACCATAGATAAAGAATGTGACAGATTAGATAATCTATGACTCGTACGCATAGATTATGCGCTGTGCACACACGATACTTTTAGCGTCAAAGTCGCGCGTTTTGTAAAGACTGCATCGATGCTGGGTTGCGATTTTACGTCTCTATCGGTGGTACCTACAGTCTTTCGAGTTTTCAAGGTTAACAAGGTTAAAGAAATACGTTCATAGGATAAGTCCTGATAAGTCCGCCTGTGTACTTTGTCATTTTCTTTATAACCTGATATCTATATTATATTATATATGTGAATGTATAATAAAGGTTATACAAATAAACTGTAATTCCTTGTTCTTATAAATAAACAAATAATAGTTCCGATCATAAACAATCTATTGATGTCCAATAATAAAAGAAAATCGATTAATTGATTCAATGATTCTACTTGTAACTAATTTAATTTAAATTTTTTCTGTGATCTTGGTTACAGTTTTATTAAGTTTTACTGAAAGAATTTTTTTATGACTGACAAGCTAACGACCTGATCTACGATCTGATCGAAAGTGGTAACCGTCTTCGACATTACAGAATATCTTATTATGCCTATAGTACTCCTCATGCGTTAATTTTATAACTTAGTAGTTGACGTTTTAAAAATGACAGATGTTTTGAATATTTAAACTTGGTATGTTTTTTTTTTCAATTAGGACGTGTATGTGTATGTCGAAATTCAAATATAGTGGTTATAAAAATAGATAAATTTTTCTACGAATCATAGTGGTAATATGAAAATAACTTTAAACTCAATGTAATAATAGATTTTTGATTCGTCAATTTTTTGTTTGTTCACATTTTCATTAATTTCTATTGAAACAGATAATAAATCGTCGTAAGCCTATTCTAAAAGTAGCGTGTGTGTACGTAGCGTTATTAATATATTGTGATGTATATATACAATTTGAAATAGCGATGAGATTACGTCATTTTTAGGATACCACTGAACGCTAAGTCCCATTCCAACCATCTGAATAAGCGACGGTCCTCCACCGTGCGTTTTTCAAGGCACTTTCTTTCACGCATAATCTCTCTTTAGAATTAACTTCCAGCTGCAGTACTGATACGACATCGTAACTTTCAAGTAAAAAGCATATTTATTTTTAAAAGACTGGCAGCACACTTATACCTTTGGTGTTGCCAGTGCTCATGGGCGGCGGTAATCACTTACTATCAGATGAGTTGATAACTCGTTTGCAGAGTTATAAAAAAACGCAGGTAAATTTACCTATTGCGAAATACGCACCTAAAAACTACTTAGAGCGGCATTTCTGGCAACGAGTTTCAGAGATGTGAAGTCTTCAGAGTAAAAGAGTAAAACGTAAAATTAGTTTTTTTTTACACAACTTAGAATAGCAAATAAGTTAATTGCTCACCTGATGGAAAGTGGTAATCGTCGCCTATAGACATGAGCAGTACCATGGACATAACAGAGTATACTGTTTCGCTCATGATACCCTCCATGCGTTGCCATTCCTGAGGACTCAGGTGTTATTCCTCCTGAGGGGGGGGGGGGGGGCATTAATACATCGTCATACGTTAAAAATATTGTTTTTTTTTACAAATAGATTTAATCTATGTTGCACGTGCAATAAACGTGTTCTTTTTGAGATTATTACTTTTATCGTGTATGTATATATAAAAGCTATAATCGATATATAGTTAGATTAGGTACTCTCAGAGTGTTTAGGATTCCGTGCCAAAATGCAACAGAAGGACCCCATCCCATTCAGTCCCATCAAAGTAATCCCATTCAGATGTACTGGTTATCCGTGCACTGAGACAAAAACGTTGAACCAGAGGGAGACTTTTTACAAAAGTTGATTGCTTGGGTACCTCATTGTCCCATTCGTGTTTCAACCGTGAAGCAGTTTTGTTTGCATGGCTGTGTTTCGGTTTGAAGGGTGGGATATGGCGTGAATTTACTGGGTACAGAGGAATAGCACCTGAGTCCTCAGGAATGGGAACGCATGGGGGGTATCATGGGCAAAACAGTATACTCTGTCATGTCCATGGTACTGCTCATGTCTATAGGCAACGGTTACCACTTTCCATCAGGTGGGCCGTCAGCTTGTTTGCCATTCTAAGTTGTATAAAAAAAAGGATAAAGTTCTTTTGTTTTAATCGAAAAATAGTGTTTTATTTTATATACACTTTCTACCTATGTTTAATTTTTTTATATGTCATACACGTGTGTCTTAGACGTAAGCGTAAATGCCTCTATAATATATGTATAAATATAATTGTACCTCTGTGGGTATGTATGTACCTCTAAGTACTGAATAATTAAAAATAATAAGATTATTCAAAAGGTTCATTAAAGGGAATTGGTGAGTGGTTTGAAAGGTCACTCTCTGGAAGTCGCATTTCTGGCCAGTAACTAAAGCGGCAGAAAGCAACTTTAGTCAGTCGTCCGTGTCTCCTTCACGAACCAAACTTGATAATTAGCATGCAAGAGACAGCCGATTCTCTCTTTCTCTTGTATTTATTTTTATTTTGAATTGAATATATTGTGCTACCTGTTATCTCGTGATACACGAAGGGTGTATCACGTGAAAGGGTTCATTGAACTTGTACAGGAAATTTCATTTGTTGTAAATCATTCGTACACATCTCCAACTCTATCCGAGATCCGCGGTCATCTCGAAGTTAAGTTAAAAAATTTGAAGGTACTCAACAGAGCAAAACGATATTTCAACTTCGACTATTTTCAAATATATACGAGTTAAAAAAAAACAAAATATTATATACTTAAGTTATTCAATGAGTATTTTGTGACAACCCTATTTAAGAAAGGTGAGGAGTGAGGGGAAGCGGGGTTTATTTTTTTAAATAGATGGTAACCCCCGCCTGCGCTAACGGTATACACTGGCGGGGCACCAGTGAGGGTTGACAGGTGAGGATGAAAGCATGTCAGTTAGCCCATCGTGATGAATTCATAAAAAAACAATCAAGATGGTTTCCAGGGGGAACTTCGTAGAGGTCGACTTGACAAGGTACATTGTTAGCAATGGGGTTTCCAGTCCCATTACTACCAATCGCTTTCCCCCCAACGTGGGATAGATTTTGTCGTTAGAACAGCACATACAAAAAAATACATGAGTGTCACTTCTATCCAGAACATTCTTATAAGCGCCTAGTCACCATATAAAATTAGATATGTTACTTGGCTTTTGAGGAAAATTATTATAGGCGTTGCAGTTAGTATTTGTCTTATAAGTGAATGCTACAAATGAGTCAGTCGGTGTTTCATTTTAAAAGCGACCAGCGCCAGTCGTATTACTAATGATGGTGAGATTTTTTTTTTTTTTATAAACGCTTACAGACTGTGACAGTTGTGATTCTTTTCTGATACGATATTCACTACTTACGTGATTACTTATCAAAATTCAGTGTGTGTAAAAAAATATCGTATGTTTTAGTGCAATAAAGAATATATTGGTCCGTAAAAAAAAAAAGATATGTCCAAGAAAAAAAGTTTAACTTCAGTTGTGGCACACTAACTTATTTTGATTTAAAAACTAAACTATTAAATCGATTTTGTAGAAACTTCTATGAGACCAATCTGTAAATATGTCCTTTCAGATAAAAAAAACAAAGAATTTTATAAATCGGTTTCCATCTGACGAAGTTAAGAACTAACGAACATATAAAAAACAACATACAACAAAAAGCATTTTTTTTTAATGAATGATAATGGAATGGTAACCTCACCCGCGCTATCGGTGTACACCGGCGGGGCACCAGTGAAGGATGGTAGGTGAGGATGAAGTAGGTCAGTTAGCCCATCGTGATGAATTCAACAAGAATTGTTCACGATGGTTTCCAGGGGGAAACAACTTGGAGGTTGACCTAATAAGGCATATTGCTAGCAATGGGGCTGTCAAACTCCATTACTAATAAACCTTTTCCCCCCCAACAAAAAGCATTGCATGTCTATGCAATAAATAACCATTACATAAAAAATAATAATCTAAGCATTGATTTGACAAATATAATTAAAATCAATGGATTAATTAAAAACAAAGATTATATAGATAAAGCACTGAGTCTCAAAAACGGACAAAATTTTTGTCAGTCAATTGCCAAATTAGGTGACTCGTTCTTTATCAGTGTTTTATAAATTTACGTAAACAATGTATCTTCACGTTTAAAAAATAAATAAAATGAGTATTTACGTGTTAAAAAGATGCAGAAATTATAAGACAAAATAAATATAGAAGTTATAAAGGAATCGTTCATAACAATTTATCACGCAAAATTGTATGAAAAAGTTAACCTATTTTTTCGAAGTATTTGTATGGAGACTCTATGTATGTATATATGTAATCTAAGGGATACACATACATTTACATATGAAAAACGTTGCCTTTCTTTCTATGGTAGGTATTTGGTTAAAAACTGTTTTAATTTTTAACACGGTCAATGTTCTGTTACAAATAGAAGGCGATTGTGGTAACGGTGGTGCTTTGTGCTGCACTGTTTGTGAGACTGTCTACCTCAAGTCAGGTAAATAACGTACCTATATATATACTACTAGAAAATTGTTAATTATTTTAATGTAAATAAATACATATTATCCATACATACATACATAGAAAACATTTAGACCAATACAAATAGACTTATATATGTATATAATTAATTCAAGTATTATACTAGAATCGATACGATATAAAAACCTTTAAGAAAAGAGCATATTCCTTTTTAAAAGGCCGGCAGCACACCTGCAATGCCTCTGGTGTTGTGGGTGATCATGGGCGGCGGTAGTCACTTACCACCAGGTGAGCCACATGCTCGTTTGCCCCCTGTGTTGTAAAAAAAAAGTGAGAAGAAACAAATAGATTTCTGATTGAATAGAGATTGAGCGTCAAGAGTACATATAGTATCATGACTCCTTGATTATGTTTTCTTTTAGGATAAACAGCCTGTAAACGACCCCATAGTGACAGTCCGTGAGGGGAAACTAAGAGGTTCAGTGCACACTCTGGTGGATGGTTCAACGTCTTACAGTTTTAAAGGTATACCTTATGCAGAACCTCCGATTGGGAAGCTGAGATTCAAGGTACAAAAAAGACAATATAATTTAATTTTTAACATGTTTATTAATATAGTCGAAATTACAGATGGATCAATATACAATCGACATAGTAACAATGTAGTACAATTATAATTTTGTTGCCCAAATTAAGGCTATGTTCCATGAAAAAAAAAATGGATGAATTTGTATGTGTTAGTATGAAATTAAACTGAAACGAAATAAAAAAATATATCAAAACTGGTTCAAAATTGTTAAAAATAGCGAGGAATGTACGCACAAAAAGTACAGTTAATTTGAGAACTTCCATAATTTTGAAGTCACCTATAATTAGTTGATACTATATATAAGTATGTATTACCATGTCTAAAATTTTACCTAATTATGTACATATTGAGAGTATTTTGTTTTTTACGTTTATCTAAATACATTATTAACTGATTATAAATTTGACATTATCTAGAAATCTCACTGATCATAACACGATACTTATCTTCTTATCACCACAATATTTAGTTTTGTAATTTTTTTTTATTACTAATGATTTATATGATATTATAGGATCCATTGCCTCCGAAATCTTGGAAAGGCATACGTGAAGCAGTAAATCATGGCTCAGTGTGTCCGCAATTCGATATTACCACCGAAGAATTGATTGCAGGCGACGAGAATTGCTTATTCTTGAACGTTTTTACTAAATCGTTAACAGCATCAGCTAAGTTACCAGTAATGGTATGCATTCACGGCGGAGCGTTCACGTCTGGATCAGGCAATTCAGATTTTCTGGGTCCAGATTATTTATTACAACATAATGTTATTCTAGTGACAATTAATTATAGGCTTGAAATGCTAGGATTTTTGAGTTTGGACATACCTGAGGTGCCTGGAAATGCGGGTATGAAAGATCAAGTAGCTGCATTAAAATGGGTAAAAAATAATATTGCTCAATTTGGTGGTGATCCAAATAACGTGAGTATTTTTGGTGAAAGCGCTGGGTCAGCAGCGGTTTCTCATCACTTACTGTCACCGATGTCTAAAGGGTTATTTAATAGAGCAATTGAACAGAGTGGAACGTCTATAGATGATTGGGGTGTTGGCAGAGATCCAGTTGCAAGGGCTTTCAGAGCAGCTAAAGTGCTAGGAAAAGACACAAAAGATGTGCATGAACTATTAGATTTCCTTCAAAGTGTACCAGCTTTGGATCTTGCTGGATTAACATTTAAGACTGATACTGAAGATGAGAAAAATAGAGGCTTACCTATACATTTTGCACCTGTTATAGAAAAGAAATTCAACAATATAGAACCATTTTTATGTGAAGAACCGCTTACCATCTTGCTCTCAGGTAAAACAAACAGAGTACCAATAATGATTGGTTATAATTCGGCTGAAGGTCTTCTTATGTTATCTGACCATTTATCAAAAGCTGATTTTAGAAATAAGAATCCTAAGTATTTAGTTCCAAGAGAAATTGCACAAAAAATATCTGAGGACAAAACAAAAGTATTTGGAGAGCGTATTAAGAAGTTCTATGTTGGGAACAAAGAATTTTCGAACAGCACAGCAGAGGAAATAGTTAATTTGCAGACTGATATAAATTTCGCTTACAACACAAACAGATTTGTGCATTTGTACAGTGCTGCAAATCAGCCCATTTACAAGTATAGGTTCAATTACGTTACTGATATGAACTTTATAAAAATATCGCTTGGATTGGCCCATTTAAAAGGAGTGGCTCATGCGGATGATTTGTTTTATTTGTTTAACAATGCTGAGACCAAAGATGTTTATGAAAAACAAGAAAAAGTGAGGCAAATAGTATTCAAAGTGACGAAACTGTGGACTGATTTTGCTAAAACTGGGTAGGTACATGTTTTAAGTAATAGTGACTTAAATTAGCTTATGATAGTTTGGATATATATCAGAAGAATAAGTGAGGAAGTCATAAAATTTAACGTAATAAAGAAAACGTCTTTATACGTCTTCAAAACCTATAAAATTCTGTGCATAAGGGCATGTTATTGGGCCTGACGTAACGAATAATCGCCATACTAAACACATTCTCTCATACCTCACCATAAAATATGATCACACATCACTTGCATCTATTGATTAACTATAATATAAGGTCATTATTTTGTCTCAAGGATTTGTTGCACACTATGCTTGTCTTTGAATAATCGCTACTCGAGAATCTTTATTTACCATCGATTATTGGTCGAGCTATATAGCCGGCTCATTGCCAATTTAGTTTGCCAATTCTTCGAACTATGTTTGGTTACACTTTGGTTTTTATGCGAACGTTTTGTATTCTATGTATTATGTAGTAAAACTCTGAGCTTAATCCCCTTCACCAAGAGTTGATAATAACCTCACTCGATCCATGAATTATCATTGTTATGACTAACATATGAAATATTTCTCTTATCATTTCACATTTTGTTGTTATATAAAATATTCAGCTATGCTGTTACATATGTATTTATATAAAATAAAATTAACAGAGACTACAACTAACTATCATTATTAACAAAGTCGAATACTTGTATTTTCCAAATGATTTAGCCAAAAAAAAATACTGGCAACTTTTAATTAGGTACTAAATATTTGGCTTTGTTTGCGGAAAATTTCCTTTGTTTGTTATCGAGGTTTTATTATGACCCAGTTAAAATTTTTTTGGAATTGCCGCTTCTGATGCTTGTAAGGCTGAGAAAATTAGAAGAGCACACCAAGAAAGCACACCAATTATTTCTCGTCCAGCGTATCCCGTTAGCGCAGGCGGGGTTACCATACCATTTTCATCCATCAAAAAAAAAAAATTATTTCTCGTTTGCACTGGTCATTCCAGAGTATTGACATATCACTACATAGTATAAAACAAAGTCGTTTCCCGTCTGTCTGCGCCTATGTATGCTTAGATCTTTAAAACTACGCCACGGATTATGTTGGGGTTTTTTAAACAAATAGAGTTTAAGAGGAAAGTTTCTATGTATAATACATGCATCATATAGTATCGTGCTTCATAGCGCGACAATTTTTTCGAAATTGTATGTTCGTACTTTAGTCAGTATTGACGTTAATTTTTAAACCATACCTACATACATACATATCTGTCACGCCTGTCTCCCATTAGGGTAGGCAGAAACAATGGAACGCCAAATGCCTCGATTCAAACAAACCTCTTTCGCTTCTTCCATATTCATCAATCTTGTCATACACGCTCGCCGGTTACGGGTACTTTTAATTTGGCCCTTCTTCAGCACGTCACCTATTTGGTCGACATACGTCCGTCTAGGGCGGCCCCTACCGACATCTCCATTCTTTTTTGCTCGATAAATCTTTTAATCTCTTCTCTCTCTTTTTCTCTCTATTTTTAAACCACTCTGTAGTATATTTAATATCAGTATTGCACCCGCGCGAAGCCGGGGCGGGTTGCTAGTATATAATAATAAAGATTACATTGAACTCTGAATTGTCCTTGACCTTCATATCTAGTTTGTGGTTAAGCAGAAATTATTGAGTAAATAACAAACGTCCAATATTTACTGTTAAGGAAAACATTTATCATTTTCCCTGTAATTTACTGGGTTTTTCCTTTTCTAAGCGTGAATATTGTTTCTAATGTTGTTGTTGGGATTTCCTCGTGTTTGCTCTATGCTCCTTATCCATTTTCTTCAAAATGTCGTAGAATTGGGTGGGATATGACGTGAATTTACAGGGTACAGAGGAATAACACCTGAGTCCTCAGGAATGGCAACGCATGGGGGGTATCATGGGCGAAACAATATACTCTGTTATGTCCATGGTACTGTTCATGGCTACAGGCGACGGTTACCACTTTCCATCAGGCGGGCCGTCAGCTTGTTTGTCATTCTAAGTTGTATAAAAAAAAAATTCCGTCATCATCGTGCAGTAAATAATATATATAAAAGCTAGTTAATATAGATAATATATAAAAGCTATATAAATATTAAAATATTAAAAATATGGAATTTTGTAAAGATGCTTGTATATATATATATCCAAGTGATATATTTAGGCCTTTCCCATAGTCTAATAATCTAATCTCCAATTCATAAGGAACGGCCCCTAGTCACTTGCCTCCCTTAATTCCCATTATATATATATATATATATATATATATATATATATATATATATATATATATATATATATATATATATATATATATATAAAATAATTCCTCTAAAATAATTCTCCTAAATTTCCAGCAATCCAACACCGGACAACAGTTACGGTGTAAAATGGGAACCGTACACTCGTACTGGCAAGGAATATTTGAATTTGGAAGAACATCCCACTGTGGGCCACGCAGCTGACCGGGACAGGACCAATTTCTGGGACAGCCTGTATTGCGAAGCGGGAGTGCCTTGTATAGCAAGATACAATTTGTAGATTTTATTTGATAATAATATTATATGTAAATAATATAAATCTGTGCTATATTTAATAATAAACGTATCGTATCATATTGGCTTGAGTTATTAAATGGATGATAATGGAATGGTAACCCTGTCCGCGCATCTATCATCTTTCCCTTTTTATCCACCATTGGTATACGCTGGCGGAACACCAGTGAGAGATTTTATTTATTTATTTACACTTTATTGCACTAAGTTAAAAGAAAAGTAATAAATACAGTAAGTATTAATGAGAAGTGATGCAAATGGCGGCCTAATCGCTAAGCAATCTCTTCCAGACAACCTTTGGGTAGAGAGGACATTATATAAATATTAGAAAAATTGTGTGAAAGTAAATTAGGTGAATGTAAGTTCACTTACTAAAAATAAAAATATTATACAAGAGAGAGAGGGGATTGTTAGTAATGGGTATGATTACTACCTATATTCAGCATAGGTTAGACCATTTGATTTATTTACTAAAAATAAAAAAAAAAATCATCAAGAGAGAGAACGGAATTGTTAGTAATGGAGATTAGCAATCCCGTTGCTAACAATATACCTTATCAGATCGATAAACCCATAAGGTATAGGTTTCTCTCATTTCATCTTAGATACAATTACAATTGTAGCCATCTTAGATTTATTTATATATATTTGCACACATTAAAATATGTCGGCGGATTCAATGCCTGATGGCATTCTCTAGCAGTCAACCGTTACGCTAAACAGAGAGTAAATGGCGGCGCATAGGTCTAGCAAAATCAATTTGTAAATAAAATAAATATTTTGAGTTTTCCTTCTCTAGTACCTACTGACGATGAAAGAAACTGTTGACATTGTATTTTTGTTCCGTCATCGCTATACCTGTACGCGATAAATATGATTTCTATAAAGATTAAAATCATTGACTTAGTGTAACGTACTTATTAAGATTAAAACAATCAAAATAAAACCTGGTCATAGATAACAGACATATGCTGAAACGGTTCCGCAGCAATTTAGTTTTAGTTTCATCCCAATCATCTGGAAGAGTGGCGGTCTTCCACCGTGCGTTTCTCAAGGCACTTTCTTCCACGCACAACCATTCTTTGGAATCAACTTCCAGCAGCAGTATTTCCGAACCAATACGACAGCGTAACCTTCAAGAAAAGAGTATATTCCTTTTTAAAAGGCCGGCAGCACACCTGCAATGCCGCTGGTGTTGTGGGTGATCATGGGCGGCGGTAGTCACTTACCATCGGGTGAGCCGCATGCTCGTTTGCCAGGGGGCAAGCAGGGGCATTGTAAAAAAAAAATAAAAAAAATATTATTTGAATTAATGTAAAAATAAATGTTGAGGAAAGAAGAAATCATTATAATCAACGAGTTTCAAAGATAATTTCTGACCTCAATACCCTCCTAGGTATTGAGTGATCAAAACAAACGGATTACTCAGTGAATAAGACTTTATGAGTAAAGATTTACATTGCGGTTTAACAGGAGCAATTATTATAACTTTGGAAAGTACTTCATGACTCAGCACTCGCCATAACATGAGTTATGACGAGTGCTGTTTCAGGCAGAAAAACCTGTGACACTGCGACCTTTCCATGATCTATTGTGCTCGCCCTTTTTAAAGTTCGCTGCTAACTCCTATCAATGATAGGAATTTTAAGATGTTTTTTGTAGCGACGTTTTTTAGGGTATCGAGTGTTTTTTTTTATACAACTTAGAATGGCAAGCAAGCTGACGGCCCACCTGATGGAAAGTGGTAACCGTCGCCTATAGACATGAGCAGTGCCATGGATATAACAGAGTATACTGTTTCGCCCATGATACCCCCCATGCGTTGCCATTCCTGAGGACTCAGGTGTTATTCCTCTGTACCCTGTAAATTCACGCCATATCCCACCCTTCAAACCGAAACACAGCCATGCAAACACAACTGCTTCACGGTTGAAACACTAATGGGACAAAGGTACCCAAGCAATCGACTTTTGTACAAAGTCTCCCTCTGGTATTTCCAAAGGAGATATTCCGTTTATGTATAAGTGGGCTACAGCCACACATTCAGTGCTGCGGCGTTTCTTCCTCACTGTGACAAAATCTGCAAACATTTTTTGGACATAAGCCCAGTTGGGCCATATGCTTGTTTAGTTTCCAGTGTCCAGTGAGAGCCCTTGTAAATACACACATATAATATAAATTTTACTTAAGAGTAATTTTGTCGAGTCCTGTAAGTATTTAGCAAGTGACAAAGCTCTCGGGACGTTAAGGAAAATGCAATGGAAATACCTACTCGGTGCATCCATGCAAAACAATACATACACGATGTACACTCATATCTGTGTCAGTTAGCTTGACTTTGTGTACGACGCGAAACGTATCATTTGTAAGGAACATAATGGTATGTTATTTGTAATATGTTATTTCTATTAAATATTATATTTATTATTTTTGATATTGTATTTATGTTTCATGTTGATAATTAATTAAGTAATATTTATAATTATTTTATATGTAATTTTTACGACAATTACTTTATTTATACTAATTTTAAATAATAATAATAATAAATAATTTATACTCGTAAATTTCATTATAGCATTTTTAAACAGTCATTTTTTTACGAATCTACCGCTCAGTTCGAAATAAAATTGCAGCTGTGAAAATCGGGCAAGAAACACTGCTATTGCTTTATTTTTTTCAAATAAATGTTAATTTTACAACAAAAAAAAAATATTAATGACTATCAAACACTTGTTGATAAAAAGAAATAAAAAAAAAAAAATTACAACGCTAGAATTAATTACAATATTCTTGAACAGACCAGTTGCTACTAGAAGCACCCGATCACGAATTGGTAAACATGAGTTAATAATGAATACATTTAATTACCATCATGTATTTTAAAATACTGTAATGTAATGAATATTAAGAATTTATCAATTAACATTTTAATTGTTTTTATACTCCGGACAGAGGGCGATAATGGTATTGCTGTTTTGTATGACTGCTGCTAACATTTCTACTTGTCGTAAGGTAAAATATCAATATCATCATCATTTCAGCCATTATCCGTCCCCTGCTGGACATAGGCCTCCCCCATAGACTACTATAAGGAACGGTCCTGAACCACCTGCATCTACAGCCTCCCTGCAATGAATTTGAGGTCGTCACTCAAGAACCTTTTTCCCCCATCGATTGTCGGTTCTTCGAGCTATGTGACCGGCCCATTGCCACTTCAGCTTGCTTATTCTTCGGGATATGCCGGGCAAAATTTGAATATCGATAGATATATATTTTTTATTAAGTATAAATTTTTATGCATCTATTAATATATATACTGTGTCGTCCATGATACCTCTCATACGATGCCATTCCCGAGAGTTAAGATAATTTTTAATCTCCACTTCCATGTTAACATAGGTTCTTTATAATATTCAATTAAAAACAATATAATACACTGGTGACTTGTAACACAGGTTCTTCTAAACCTACCGCAAGCACCAGTCTCTCACAAAACTGGTCTTCATTTCAAATTGTACCTCATGTTGTTACTTTATTATACCTTTTGTGAAGAGAAAATAAACCATTCATTCATTCATTCAATTTAATTCAATTTATTTTATTCGTTACAATATTGCATTGTGTTGAATATTTTTGCAAATGACAAGAAGATATCGTAAAATATAACAAAACAAAAAAAAAATATGAAGCAACAAAATAACCAATAATAATTGTCAAAAATAACATTACAATCAATTTACAAATGTCATTAGTAAGGCATAAAATATTAAAAGAGTATTTTAAAATTCATCAATTGAGTAGATGCACCTTTCCAACAAAAGAGTATAAAGTTTTATTTTCAAAATTCTCCAATCTTTAATAGTTTTTAATGCAGTGGGTAATTTATTATACAATTTAACCGCTTGAAATTTTGCGCCATGTTTCACTATATTTAGTTTTGGTTGGACATCATATGCAACATTTTTTCGTCTAGAAATCATGCGTATATAATATAGGATTTGATAATGTTTAATTGAATGCCCATATATTTTCAGAGTGTAAGTGTTTCAACAGATCCTATAGTAACGGTAAAGCAAGGAAAGCTGAAAGGTTCTACCAGTACCCTTTTAAATGGATCACCATATTATAGTTTTAAAGGAATACCATACGCTCAGCCACCGATTGGAAAGCTGAGGTTTAAGGTAATATATTATATATATTCTCAAATGTGACATTTAAAATTCATCGTCATCTTTCCACCCTTATCCCAATTATTATTTGTGGTCGGCGTAATATGTTTTTTGTCCATATTACAAAAAGATTTGGCTTATAGATTTATGACCGACCACCTACCGGACATCAACTTCTTGAATTTTTTTTATACAACTTAGAATGGCAAACAAGCCCACCTGATGGAGAATGGTAACCGTCGCCTATAGACATAAGCAGTACCATAGACATAACAGAGCATACTGTTTCGCCCATGATACTCCCCATGCGTTGCCATTCCTGAGGACTCAGGTGTTATTCCACTGTACCCTGTAAATTCACGCTATATTCCACCCTTCAAACCGAAACACAGCCATGCAAACACAACTGCTTCACGGTTGAAACACGAATGGGACAGAGGTACCCAAGCAATCGACTTTTGTACAAAGTTTCCCTCTGGATAAAGTTACTACATATTAATAAATGGAGCGATCACTCTTCTTATTTGTGCTTTCCTAAATTGCAGCAAACTGCATCTCCTAAAATCGTCGTTTAAAGAGTGAAGGCAGGTATTCTTAATACGAAATTTTGTAATATTGCCCTCCATCTAAATTTATTTACTTTTTTATTCTAAAATTCTGCTTTTAATGTACAAAAAGGTAATAAATAATTTACCCATTGTTTTCAGGCCCCGTTGCCCGCAATACCCTGGAAAGGTATCTACGAAGCAATAGAACATGGCGCAGTTTGTCCGCAATTCGATATCACCTCTCAGAAGCTGATAGAAGGAAATGAAAACTGTTTATTTTTAAACGTGTACACAAAATCTTTGAAGCCTGTTACCAAATTACCGGTTATGGTATTTATTCATGGTGGAGCATTTACATCTGGATCCGGTAACTCTGATGTATTCGGTCCTGATTATCTTTTGCAGCATGATGTAATTTTAGTCACAATAAATTATAGGCTTGAAGTGTTAGGATTTTTGAGTCTGGACATCCCTGAGGTACCAGGTAATGCAGGTATGAAAGACCAGGTTGTTGCATTGAAATGGGTTAAAGATAATATTGCTCAGTTTGGTGGCGATCCCAATAACATTAGTATTTTCGGTGAAAGTGCTGGTTCCGGAGCAGTCACTTGTCATATGGCTTCACCAATGTCCAAAGGTTTATTTCACAAAGTAATAGCACAAAGTGGAACAAGCATAGATGATTGGGGTGTCGGCAAGGACCACGTTGCAAGAGCGTTTAGAGCCGGTAAAGTATTGGGGAAAGATACAAAAGATGTGCATGAATTATTAGAATTTCTCCAGAGTGTCCCAGCAATAGACCTCGCTGGACTAACATTTAAAACTGAAACTGAAGAAGAAAAACTTAGAGGTTTGCCCGTACATTTCATACCTGTGGTGGAGAAGAATTTCAAAAATGTAGAACCATTTTTAAATAAAAGTCCTCTTGACATTCTACTAGCGGGTGAAACGAATAAAGTACCATTGATGATTGGTTACAATTCAGCAGAAGGGCTACTGATGTTGTCTGATCATTTAAGTAAGGCGGACTTTCGTAATAAGAATCCTGAATATTTGGTGCCAAGGGAAATATCCCAAAAAGTACCTCAAGATAAGACAAAGGAATTTGGGGCTCGAATAAAGAAGTTTTATGTGGGAAATAATGAATTTTCTAATGATACAGCAGAAGCCATTGTTAACTTGCATACGGATTTAAACTTTGCTTACAGCGTTCATAGATTTATACATTTGTATGCGGCATCTAATCAACACATTTATCAATATGTATTTAATTATGTATCTGATATGAACTTCGTGAAGATATCTTTAGGATTGGCTCAAATGAAAGGGGCATCTCACGCTGATGATCTATTTTATTTGTTCTACAACGGTGGAACGAAAAATGTTTACGAGAAACAAGAAAAAGCGAGAGAAATTGTTTACAAAGTTACTAAGCTTTGGACGGATTTTGCAAGAACTGGGTACGTACATTCCATATCTACGGTGTCATAAAACAGTGTTTTTCGAACTTTTTCATGACACGACCCCCCTAATATGAAAAAATATTTTGCGACCCCCAACCCTTCGCTTTTTTCATATATTTTAAAATGAAAAAGAAGCGAAGTAAAATTATTTTCTTAGATCAAGAATTTTTTTGATGATACAAGAAAAAAATCCTAACCTAAGAAAATAATTTTGAAGAATTTGATCGTTTTAAACCAAAAAGAAAAAACTTGAATCAAGTAAAGGTCATTGAAACTAAGAAAGTTTAATTGGTTCAAGAATTATTTTTCTTTTTACAAAACATTTAAATTCTTCAAAATGACTTTTTTGGGTCATGTTAATTTTTTTATCTATGCATAGACGAGTCAGAGGTTTTTTGTTGATTTGTATTAACATATAAATGTTTTAAAAATCATTATTCTTAAGAAATCTATCTTTATAACTTTTTTTTACTGAGGTAGTTTTTACGAACCCTCTATAAAGGCTTCCTGGTCCCTTTAGGGGTCGCAATCCATGTTGAAAAACACTGTCATAAAATATTCATAGAAAAAAAAAGAACTACAATTACGGGGTACGGAGGTATAGCGTTTTAGTCCTTAGAAATTGCAACGCGTGAGGTACCAATAATGTATCAATAATGTATAGATAGAATTTTTTATCTGATCGGCTTGTTTACCATACTTTATTGAATAAAACAATATACTTTGTTATGTCCATGGTACTGCTCATGTCTATAGGCGACGATTACCACTTTCTATCAGGTGGGCCGTCAGCTTGTTTGCCATTCTAAGTTGCATAAAAAAAGTAGTCAAGTCCTGAAAATGCCCAATTAAACAACATGATAATTATGAAGAGATAAGTAATTTACAAATATTTTTTTTATTTTTTTTTCAGTAATCCAACACCAAATAATAGTCTGAATGTGAAGTGGGAGCCGTTCACCCGTACTGGGAAACAATACATTAAACTAGAAGAGCCGCTATGTGTGGGACGCGCTGCCAACCGCGACAGAATACAGTTTTGGGACAATCTGTATTGCCAAGCAGGGCTGCCTTGTATTGGAAATTAACCCTATGTTTTGCCTTGTATGTAATAGTCACTATCAATTAGCTAGAATAACAACCGCAAAACAGTTCTATGATAACAAAATAAAGAAAAAAATCCGTAAGAAATTTATGAAAAACTTACATTTGGAGCATGGCATTGTATGGGTGTGAAACATGGAATGACGCAAAAAGAAATAAAGATGCTTGGGGCATTTGAGATGTGAAAGGATAAGCTGGACAGACAAAGTAACGAGTGAGCAAGTCTTGAAAAGGGTGAATTAGAAACGAATATTAGTAAAAACAACAGAGGCAAAATGCTTGGGCCATGACGACATGACGATTTTTAACCCTTCTTTGCATGATTTTTTTTATTGGTGAAATAAATCAAGGTGATATAATTAGTGTTCAAAATTAAAGGAAAAACTGTTAAAAAAAAAAAATTTGACAGCTATATTTTTTTTCCGCAATAGACATTAAAAAGGTATCCAGACACGATTAACTTAAAGTGAACTTGGTCTTTTATATAATTTTTGGGCATTCAATGTTATGATGGCAATTTTGCACCATTATACAAAGAAGGGTTAAAGAACATAGTAGAAGGAAAAATAAGAGGGCAAAAGAGGAAGGAGAATAACTACATGGCATTAATAAAGGAAACTAGGTATCATAGACGTATAGAGAGGTCGAAGATATGAGCTGGAAAGAAGTTCGCTAAATTAACCGACACCCAACTAGATGGAGTGACGGTCTTAAATACATTGCAGGGAGTAAGTGGATGCAGGTGTTTCAGGATCGTTCCTTATGGCAGTTTATAGGGGAGGCCTATGTCCAGCAGTGGACAGGTAATAGATGGACAGAAATGATGATGATGATTTGATTAAATTGAAACAAAAAAAAAAATTATAAACGTTGTATTATAAATTTCATTCTCTTAAAATTCTAAGACAATTGTTACATTTAATTATTATTTATATTATAATTCATATCTCATTGTGACTTAGAATAAATAAATATTTATATTTAATATCACACTACAGTTATAATGACACGTAAATTATTTGTACAAAATCATTTAATACTTATACATAATGTAAAATTTCACAATGGCAAAGTATTCATAGGCAATTTGTCATTTTTTTATTTCAATGACGAACTAATCAAATTGTATGGAGTGAAATCAAATTTGTAGTATATATATATATATATATATATATATATATATATATATATATATATATATGTATATGTTTGTATGAAGCAATGTATTTATATTGTTTGATAGTTCTAAATTTAAGATATTAATTTACTCCATATCTTATAACTTAGACACTAATTTACATTTAAGTACACTTATGTAACTTACATAAGATTAGTAACCTTTAATGTAAAATGTACATCTGAAACTTATTGGGATTGCTTTACAAACAGATATCAGATTGTATTGATGTAAAAATGACTTAAAATTTTATCATTAATATTTTTTTTAATTAATCTGTGGAGTACATACAATCTTTTCTATATCTTTCCCCTCCAAATTTCTTAATGAGCGAGGCAATAAATAAATCAAAAATGTAAAGTACTTATTATAATACTGCCAACGTACACTAATCCAATTATTTTTTTATACTATTTAAGTTTCTATCTTTAAATATTCAATTTCAATTCATTTAACAGAGAATTCTCAAGAGACTTAATAAATCAAAATAGGCAATTCATACGTGAATCAATTAATTACATAATTTTCATAATAATAATAATAATATATTATATATTTTTTTATATAAATAAACACGTAAAATATTATATTTAAATACTGAAACAATAATTTGGTATAATAATTTTGTGACATAAAAATTCAAAATTTTAACAAATTAAATTAATTTTTCTATATATGGTACTTTATTGTATATTTTAAAGTTATAATTTTGAATATGTCACCTCTATTGAGGCTCACTTGTCGTTGGTAGAATTAAGTGGGCATTAACTTAAAGAGCATACTCTATTATGACGACCTTGGTTGTCACGTCGTGTACAGTGGCTCGGAGTACAACCTGGTAGGCACCGATATATTGCTGGGCGCTGTTGGCGGCGGTTCCCTGGCCAGCAGGAGAGCTGAACGTGCTCGATGTTTGGCTAAAAACAATTGAGTTGCAGCAATAAATGACTGTCCTGCGGTCCCAGGATAGAATAGGCCACGTCTTACTTTCCCATAGGTGTTGTAATAGGCGATTAAGGGAACCTAATGGCCTAGGGGTGGGCAGTGGCGTCCCATTTAAAACATCACCAAAGTCGAATTGCAGTTACCAATCCGCCTGCTACTCTACTGGCATAACCCCCCTAGGGGGAGGCTTATGTTCAAAAGTTGGACAGTTAACGGTTGATATATGATGATGATCCCGCCAGTATATACTGATAACGCGAGTGGGGTTGCCATATCTAATATTAAAGGAAAGATTCGGTTGTTTATTTGTTTGTAATGGATAAACTCAAAAACCCTTCAATCGATTTTAAAAATTCTTTTACCTATAAAAAGCAATATTATCAGCAACTAACATCTTTACTAATATTATATCTATCTATCTATATACATCGCAATTCCCTGTTCATGCCATAATTGCCATAATTTTGTCTGCCTTTTGTACCTTATTTTATTTTGGCTAATAAAGTTATTTAAATAAATAAATAAATAAAAGAAATACATATCTGAAGAACATTCTTATTCTTCATTTGGTAACTTTATAAAAAAAAAAATATGGAATATTTCAATTACCATTTGAATGCATACAGCACAGTACAATGGCCGCGATTAACGCTGCAACTGGCAACACCCCAGCTAGAGCCAGCAACGCGTGCTGCGCCGGGGAATGTTTCGTACGGGACACGCCACAGCTCGTAATGTTGTGCACGTTGAACGACTCTAGGATCTCCTGGAACTCTGTTCCTAGAGATCTTATTGTGGCCTTCATAGCTTTGGGCGTGAGTGCTTCCCCGGTCTCCATTTTGCGAAATTGGAAGCAAGGCCTGAAAATAAACAAGAGTTATTTTTCTTTTTTTGTACGTAACCTTCATTAATCAATTAATATTTTTTTTTTATACCACGAGTGGCAAACAAGCGTACAGCCCGTTTGATCGTAAACGGTTACTGTAGACCAGGGGTGGCCAACCGGTTGCTCGCAGGTATTAGCCCAGTCGACCTCGTGGCAAGGCAAACAATATAATATTTTGCTAATCTAGCGGAAGATGCTCGGATGCAATGATCACACTAATATAAATTTAGTAACTACTTACTAAAAATAGTTTTCAGTTTTATGTGTTGCCATTCCTGAGGACTCAGGTGTTATTCCTCTGTACCCAGTAAATTCACGCCATATCCCACCCTTCAAACCGAAACACAGCCATACAAACACAATTGCTTTACGGTTGAAACACGAATGGGACAGAGGTACTCAAGCAAACGGCTTTTGTACAAAGTCTCCCTCTTGCAAGCGGAGCACTCAATGCTAAATTAGTTTTGCACAGGATTGTTAAATTACCCAGGGTTGGGGGGGGGGGGGGGGGGGTTGTCAATAATGTATCATTATAACCACGTATAAGTACCAGTCCCATTTCTACAACAATATATCCTCTCAGGTCGTCCTCCACGTGGTCCTCCCTGAAAACCATCGTGCCGAATCCCAGGTGTATTCATCACGATGGGCTAACTGACCTACCTTTTCATTCCCACTTTTTTTTTTAATTGGTGATAATGGAATGGTAACACCGCCCGCGCTATCGGTATACACCGGCGGGGCACCAGTGAAGGATGATAGATGAGGACGAAGCAGGCCAGTTAGCCCATCGTGACGAATTCAACAAGAATTGTTCACGATGGTTTCCAGGGGGAACCACGCGGAGGTGGACCTGATAGTGTATAGCTAGCAATGGGTTCATTAGACCCCATTACTAACAATCCCTTCGCCCCTATCATTCTCACCTGTCACCCGTCACTGGTGCCCGGGCAGCGTGTACCGTTAGCGCAGGCGCGGTTGCCATTCCATTATGATCCATTGAATTACCCAAGGTCACCGTAGAGGGCGGTGTGCGCGGCGTCGTGCAGCTGCAGCCGCAGGCGGCGCGGCGCCAGCGCGGCGGCCACGCGCCCGCGCAGCGCCGCCAGCCGCGCGCGCCCGCCGCCCGCCACCACCAGCCGCAGCAGCTCCCTCTCGCGCACCACCACCACCTGAACGTAGCCATCACTTGCAAATTTTTCTATTGTTAACACCGTAGGTTTTAAAAGAAAGTAAAAAAAAACAAAAAAAATCTTTTTTTTTACAGAAATATACGCCTGAAATATACCCCACGCAGGGGTCAAAAAAAAATTAAGAATTATAATAACGAAACTACACACAAAAATATATATTTATAAATAAAGAATATAAAATAAAAAAAGAAAAAAAAAAACAATTCGTATTATAATAGTTTCATCCAAAATGTGTGTGTGTGTGTGCGCGTACGGGCATGCGTGCGTGTGTGCGTGCGTGCGTGTGTGTGTGTGTGCGCGTGCGTGCGTGCGTGCGTGCGTGCGTGCGTGCGGCGCAGCGTGCGTGTGTGTGTGTGTGTGTGTGTGTGTGCGCGTGCGTGCGTGCGTGCGTGCGTGCGGACGTGCGAGCGTGCGTGAGTGCGTGCGTGCGTGCGTGCGTGTGTGTGTGTGTGTGTGTGTGCGTGCGCGTGCGTGCGTGCGTGCGTGTGTGTGTGCGTGTGCGTGCGTGCGCGCTTGCGTGTGTGTGTGCGCGCGTGCGTGCGTGCGGGTGGGCGTGCGTGCGGGTGGGCGTGCGTGCGTGCGTGCGTGTGTGTGTGTGTGTGTGTGCGTGCGCGTGCGTGCGTGCGTGCGTGTGTGTGTGTGAGTGAGTGCGTGAGTGCGTGCGTGTGCGTGCGTGCGTGGGTGTGAGTGTGAGCGCGTGCGTGCGTGCGTGCGCGCATGTGTGTGTGTGTGTGTACGTGCGTGCTAGCTGCGTGTGTGTGTGTGTGTGCGCGTGCGTGCGTGCGTGCGGGTGCGTGCGTGCGTGTGTGTGTGTGTGTGCGCGTGCGTGTTCGCAATACTTGCAAAAAGAGGTCCGTGCTCAGCATTTTGCTGTAGTATCCCTGACACTACAGCAAACGCTGATTTTCAGCACGAGCCTTTGAATGTATTTATTTATTTAACTCTTTACTCGTATTACACCATAAACAAAAATATACAATGACAATTGAGCAACTCAAGTGAAATACAGTAACATAAATGCAGATTGAAATATACACATAAAGGTGCAAACGGCGGTCTTATCGCTAGGGCAATCTCTTACAGACAACCTTTGTAGCTACTGTAGCTAGTTATCGGTATATTATGAACGCCAGATCCCTGATCTTAAACGCTAGGATAGTAGCAATAATTTTTAATTAGTAGTAATATACTAAATTCAAAATCCTTATTAATTTTTTTTATACCACTGAGGTGGCAAACAAGCATACGGCCCACCTGATGGTAAGTGGTTACCGTAGGCTATGAATGCCTGCAATATCATAAATGTGAAAGTCAATTTATTTGTTTGTTTATAATTTGAGATAGAAACAGACATAGACTACTTTTATCTCAGTCAAAATAATTCCGGTTACGCGAATAAAGTCCCGGGTAAAGACCCTTCTGATATCCGGAGTTTCTAAAAAAAATTCAGAGGTTTATACTAAGATTAGATAACTTTATTGCTGTGTCCATTAATAAATAAATCGAATAAACAATTAAAAAAAAATACCTCTACTGAAATATCGCTGAATCTGGTGGGATCCTCGGAATTGTTCGCTCGTACCACAAGCCTGTAAATATAACAGATTTTTACACACAAAATTCAAAATTATTATCGTTTAATAGTGTTTATTTATTTATTTATCTATTTATACTTTATTATACACACTGATAATACATAAAAATATGACAGAGCTAAGTAAATGTACAAAGACTAACTTAACTCTAAAAGAGTTCTCTTCCAGCAACACCCAAAGTGGAAAAGAGTATCGATATCAGCGGCTAAAAGAGTGTACAATATTGTGACAATTTTCAAACAAAAAAGAACTACACTTAAGTTCATTTTGATTTTGAAGATTTTTTTTATACAACTTAGAATGGTAAACAAGCTGACGGCCCACATGATGGAAAGTGGTAACCGTCGCCTAAAGACATGAGCAGTGCCATGGATATAACAGAGTATACTGTTTCACCCATGATACCCCCATGTGTTGCCATTCCTGAGGACTCAGATGTTATTCCTCTGTACTCTGTAAATTCATATCCCACCCTTCAAACCGAAATACAGCCATGCAAACACAACTGCTTCACGGTTGAAACACGAATGGGACAGAGGTAGAGCAATCGCAAACAAAATCGAGTTTTGTACAAAGTCTCCCTCTGGTAGATCTAAGCCACTAGCAAGATTATGAACAGAAACCTTCACCTGAATATTCCATCAGCGTAATGGATCAGATTCTTCATAATTTTCAATTCTCCAGTAACGTTATTTAATACAATAACATCTGTTATATTATTTAGCGATTTCGTTTTAATTGGTGATTCGAAACTCATATTGACTATTTTATAATTTATTGCTAATGCATCGGGATCTTTGTCTATCGCTTTGATCGTTGCAATGTTTGTATCTATTGGTACATTCAGACGTACTCCGATAGTCATATTGGCACTTTCGTATTCAGGAAGATGGTCGTCGACGTCTAATATTTTTATTAGTATTTGGATTTCAGATGGATCCTGCAATGTATTATCATATTAAGAAATTAGTTTGAACATCTCTCTAGTTGCTTCAACAAGGCATATTTAATTCATCTTAGTACTAAAAACATTATGGTAATAAATAAATAATTATAATTTCCTTTTATACAACTTAGAATGGCAAACAAGCTGACGGCCCACCTGATGGAAAGTGGTAACCGTTGCCTATAGACATGAGCAGTACCATGGACATAACAGAGTATACTGTTTCGCCCATGATATCCTTCATGCGTTGCCATTTTTTTTAATTGATGATAATGGAATGTTAGCCCGGCCTGCGCTAACTACTCTGGTTTACCGTTAGCGCAGTCTAAGTCTCCATTTCCAATCAGTATCCAATCTCTAACATGAATTGAAATATTTAAAAATAAAAACGATGTGAAATCAATAACAAAAAAGGCCTTTCAGACATCTTTACGTTTTGTATTCCAGTAGCGAAGTGTTAATGGAGAAACAGTATTACCCTAAACACAAAAACAAAAACAATCTTTCGAATTATAAATACTTACCAATCTATTATAAGCTACATTTAATTTAGGTTTAGTATTATATTTGTAACATTTTACAGTAAGTAACAGTTTCGATATTGCTTCTCTGTCCAATCTTGCGGCTACTTTTATCATTGCTTTACTGTTGTTCGTTCTTTCCAATTTCACTAGACCCAGTTTATTTCCAGCTAAAAAGATTTTATTTATTAATATACTTAGTTTTTTTTAATTTAATTTATTAATTTACCTAGCCGTATGGTTTTAGCTTAGCTAATTTAATGATATTTTTGATGTCTTACGTACGTAATATCTAAAAATTTTCAATGATTTTGAAATTTACCAGTTTAGGTTTAAATTACTTGATTATACTTAAAGTATGACATTGCGTAGACAAATCTCTGTAATTATAACTTCTTTCGAAGTTTAAATGTTTTGGAATTTTACAAATAACATTGAAGTTAGTTTATAATAATAATAATATATTTATTTATGTCTCCTCGCAAACAACTTAAATTTACACATAGGTATTTAGGATAAAATAAAAATAAAGTTTGAAGCTTGTATTACCAACCGTTTCTATTAATGAAATACTTGAAACATAATTGCAAAGATCTCTCATCTTTCAGGTCCTTAAAAGACTAATACATTACATCTACGAGTATGTGAATAAAAACCGTCGTTTGCTTCCGGCAAAGAATGGGCCTCTTACTTTTCCCGTAGGTGTCGTAATAAGCGACTAAGCGAACTTAATGGTCTAGAAAACGACAGCATCGTCTCTCTTAAAATATTACCAAAGGATAACTGTGGTTGATAACCTGCCTGCCAAATATGGCAACTACCGGTAAAAACTCGCTTTATGGGGGAGATCTAGTTCAGCAGTGGAACCCGTTAACTATAACGGGTGATATGATGATGACCATGTAAATAACAGTACAATACTGCAGCGGCCAGCAACTGAGGTATTGATGGACGAATGTGCAAATGTTGGCCGAGGCGTAGCCGAGGCACACATACGTGAGCCCATCAATACCTAGTTGTGACCAAGGCTTGTATAGTATTTTTCTCAAACAATGCGCGGAAATCAAAAACACAATTTTACTTTTTAAGTTCAATGACGAATAACGAACAATAATATTTTTTCACGCGCCATAATGTTCCTTTGTTTTTTTTTTTCAATAAACAGCTTTCTATTTGCAAGCCAGTTCAAAATTTAAATAAAACCTTTTATTAGTTACCTCCTTGGTAGCCATGTTTCGAAGTAAAAGGTCGTTCCATTTTTAAATTACAGGACAGTTTACATAGTAATTTATCTGGCCGCAAAACACGACAGATATGGATTTTCATACAACTTTTGCCGGCCGCTGCCCGCATGTATCTGGCCAGTACGGCAATTTTGATTTATCTCGAAGAAGATTGTCAAAATAATGCTCACATTTCCAAGCATGTTTGAGAAAAAATATAATTCCATTACCTGTAATTGCGTAGTCGATTGCAGCATTGTCACCGATATCTTCGTCGATTGCTTCGAATATTCCAACAACTGTTCCTATTGGTACTTCCTCTTTGATTGTCATTAATAATGGAGGGTCATCCTTGGTGGAAAGAAAACATTAATTATTCTATTAATTTCCCTTTTAAAATTATACAATGTGGCATATACATCTACAAGTTTATTAGCTAAAAGAAGTACTGTATTACTGTTTCAGTCATGAAACATATTATTACTTTATTTAACAGGATATTGCTCCGACCTTCTTTACTTATTTATTTATTTATTCATAGGAAAACCAGGGCTACACTACTTATAAATGGGAGAAAGGGATTGTTAGTAATAGAGACTGAGAATCCCATTGCTAGCAATATACCCAACCAGGTCGACCTCCTCGCGGTTCTCCCTGGAAACTATCATACTTAATTCCTGATGAATTCATCATGATGGGCTACCTGGCCTGTTTTCATTCTCATCTATCACCCTTCACTGGTGCTCCGCCAGCGTATCCCGTTAGCACAGGCGGTGTTACCATACCATTTACACCCATCAAAAAAAAAAAAAACTACTTATAAAATCGTTTGTCTTGATTAATTATTGAAAGCTAAAATTCAGGACGTAGGTATCTTTTACAATGTAAGCATCCGCTAAGATGTTTATAAAAAAATTTAATTCAAAAGGGGTAACACACCACGCGTGCAGAGACGCAGGCTCAGCTGGAATTGGGGGGAAAGAGATTGTTAGTAATGTGGACTACCAGTCTTATTGCTAGCAATATACCCTGTCAAGTCGATCTTCACGTGGTCCCCTCTGGAAACCATCGTGCTAAATTCCAGGTGTATTAATCACAATGGGCTAACTGATCTGCCTTTTCATTCTCACTTATCATCTCTCATTGGTGCCCCGCCAGCCTATACCATTAGCGTAAGCGAGGTTACCATTGCATTGTCATCCATTAACAAATAGCTTACATAAATCAATCAGGAATAGAGTACTATAGACGGTTTTATTATTAAGTATTCCCTTCCAGACGTTTGGATGATCTTGCACGTCATTTCTGCACTACCAAATCGTCATAGTCGTAGAATACTGACGGATCTTTATATGTAATCTTCGTCAGATCCGTCAGTATTCTACGACTATGACGAAATGTGGTACATTGCTCTAAATTCTGGCAACACAGTAATAGAAATTGATTAATAATATATTCTAATATTGGCTGTGTGGTCCCGGCATAGAATAGGCCACCCCTTCCTTTCCCGTGGGTGTCGTAACAGGCGACTAAGCGAGGGATTGGTAGCAATGTCCCTCTTAAAACATCTCTAAAGCCTGACTGCGGTCGCCAATCCGCCTGCCAAGCGTAGCAAGTACTGGAATAACCCCCCAAGGGGGAAGCTTATGTTCAGCAGTGGACAGTTAAAGGCTGATTTGATATTCTAATATGAATACGACTTACCAAGTTTCTCCCAAAGTGTGGTTTGTGATCATCAACGTCTGCAACAGCGACCGTCACTATCCTCGTACTCTGCTGCGGCGGTTGTCCCCTGTCACTCACCAGTAACACCAGTGTGTACGACGCTTTACGCTCACGATCCAGCGACTGGCGGGTCGTTATTATACCCGATCGTGGATCTGGAATTTAGTTGAAACTTTGAGCGTATTTTTCTATTTGTGAAAATTGTTAGTAATGAGCTTCATTATTAAAAAGCAAATTGTATTCTTTCATCTTTTTTCACTGTGCATGCCTATCTATATCTGTTTTTTTTATACCACTGAGGTGGCAAACAAGCATACGACCCACCTGATGGTAAGTGGTTACCGTAGCCTATGAACGCCTGCAATACCAGAGATATTACGCGCGCGTTGCCGACCCTGAAGAAACCTCTTTACCCCCTTTGAAGAACCCCATGCTGTAGTCTCTTGGGAAAACCTCGGCAGGGAGCTCATTCCATAACCTGAGTGTTCGTGGGAGGAAACATCTCTATTGCAATTGTAAGTAATGCAAAAAAATTGTCTAAAATTGTTCTTCAGGGTCGGCAACGCGCGCGTAATGCCTCTGGTATTGCAGGTGTTTATAGGCTACGGTAACCACTTACCATCAGGTGGGCCGTATGCTTGTTTGCCACCTCAGTGATATAAAAAAATATCTATTTATTAAATATATTCTACTTACCAACAGCAAACGATTTAGCATCAGCGTTGCTCTGTTGGATGGAATAGAAGAGCTGTCCGGAAGGTTGGGTGGGATCGTCCGGGTCGCTGGCGACGACTTGGAATACCGTCGATCCAATGGTAGCGTTCTGTAAAAAAATATATACTACTAATAATACCCCCTTATTCATAAAAAAGTAAAATTTCGTACAAAACTGGCAAACCTGCTAAGGGAGGCCCCTTGGGAGGTTTACATTCAGCAATGGACAGTTAAAGGCTGATAGATGTACTAAGTTAGGGTATGACCTATCCATGTACTCATTTTTTTTATTTATTTATTTATTTTTGTGGTACAACAACAGATTACAAACAAATCTTTTAACAATAGCATACAACAATAGCATTTGCAAACTTATAATAGATTGCAAACTTATATCCAATTATAGTTGTAATCAACATTCACAAAGATGAAACAGAATAGGTTGATTTTTAATACAAAAAAGAATTAATGATAAAAACTACATACAAGATTTACCAAAGGGAGACTTTGTACAAAAGTCGATTGCTTAGGTACCTCTGTCTCATTCGTGTTTCAACCGTGAAGCAGTTGTGTTTGCATGGCTGTGTTTCGGTTTGAAGGGTGGGATATGGCGTGAATTTACTGGGTACAGAGGAATAACACCTGAGTCCTCAGTGACAAAACATAAAACTCAAAATTATTTTTGGTAACTACTTATTTATATTAGTATGATAATTGCATGATCATGGCGAAACAGTATACTCTGTTATGTCCATGGTACTGCTCATGTCTATAGGCGACTGTTACCACTTTCCATCAGGTGGGCCGTCAGCTTGTTTGCCATTCTAAGTTGTATAAAAAGAAAACAAAATAAGGATCAAAAACAAAACTACCAAACTAATAGGTTATCAAATACGTTTAAAACGTCAAATAGTTTTTGCTTGAAAGAGTAATAAAAATTCATCCATTCATTTATTCATTATTAGAAATTTTCACATTTATAATATTAAAGGAAAATAACAGGATATATTATTATTAGGTATTTTTGACAATAATTTATTATTACAGTGAATATTACTTATACCGGCGAGCGTGTATGAAAAAATTGATGAATGTGGAAGAAGCGAAAGAGGTTTGTTCGAATCGAAACATTTGGCGTTCCATTGTTTTGCCTACCATAATGGGAGACAGGCGTGACAGATATGTATGTATGTATGTAATGAATATTACTTACCTCGCTTACAGTCAACACCTCACCCGCTGCCGGCCTAATGAACCTGGGAACACCATCGTTGGCACTTACATCGCCAATGTATAGCGACAAAGAACTGTCCCCAGTGTGCCCCCCACCATCAGTCGCGCCAATGAGCAGCCGGTACGGGTCCGTCCGACCGCGACCTGTTAAGTCTCTACGTGTTTTTATTTCCCCTGTCATTGCATCTATCGTGAAGAAACCTGAAATGAAAATACTGTCTGAATTGATGCTATAAAATTTTTGTAACCTGTAGGATAGGGTAAAACATGGATTCAGGATGTATGATAGGGAATCTGAAATGAAAGGTCTAGTTAGTTTCGTGTAATAAAAAAGTATAGTAAATTTGGTGTAAGTACAGTAAATTATGAGAAACCAATATTAAACTTCGATATTAATAGATTTACCAGAGGGAGACTTTGTACAAAAGCTGTCTGTAGCGCCTCTGTCCCATTATTGTTTCTGTGTTTCAGTTTTTATTGTGGGATATGGCAATGAATTTACTGGGTACAGAGGAACAACACCTGTGTCCTCAGGAATGGCAACGCATGGGGGGTATCATGGGCGAAACAGTATACTCTGTTATGTCCATGGTACTGCTCATGTCTATAGGCGACGGTTACCAGTTTACATCAAGTGGGCCGTCAGCTTGTTTGTCATTCTAAGTCGCATAAAAAAAATCGTATTATCGTCACTCGTCTGGTTTAGAGATAAGTTATATATATATAGCAATATCTATATACTTTAGTTACAGTATTTACATATATACTGGTCCAATAAAGAATATGTTAAGTCTGTTATCCAAAAAATACACTTTTAACATATTTTAAAATAGATATCCGACCGATATGGACGATATCAAAATGGATAATGACTTTTTTTCGCCATCAATGTCCAGAGGAAAACAATATACGATTTTACGACATCCTGGGGATAAAGGAGTGGTGACACAGTTTATTATTACAAAATATTACAGTACTGTGAAATAATTAATAAGAAAACGCATGCTTAGCAAGTGACAAGAGAACTTATTGGTAAAAAGGTCTATGTTATTGTATATATGTCAATGAAGAAGACTGTTTCAGACATTTCCATATAATATTTTTAATATTAAGCAATATATAATTTATTACTAATAATATACCAAAAATGTGTGAATTGTCCACAATCAAAAACACTAAGTTATCAAATTTCGCAAAACTGAGTTCCATCTCATCGTTGAGGTAAAAATAAATTTAGCAATAGAAAAGTTTTCAATACTAACCATGCCTCTTTCTCCCTTTCCCTCTCCCTCTCTCCTTCTCTCACACGCACATATTCTGCTCAATTTAAGTTGATCTTTTAGTATAAATTTATAAAACTTACCATTTGCTTCACCTTCATCTAGAAAATCATATCTAATTTCACCACCTAGTCCTTCGTCCGGATCTGTAGCAGTTACATTAATTATGCTAATCCCAATTGGCACATTTTCTGGCACGACAGCTGTAAAATTATCAGTTAAAATTATTTATATACATTGATCTTTTAAAAAATACTATAATAATAATTTCACTTATTCTGCTTGCAAGTAGATTACTATTTCATTAAATTAAATACACCATAATACCACACAGTTCTGAGATCACTTATTTTATAAACTCTATTGTAGAATAAAGATCTGAATAACGTAACGATAACAAAAGTTGAGTTTTATAACAAAAAACGTAAATATATCCTGTTTTGCTAAGTTTTGTATTTTAATATAATAACTATCGGTTTAAATTAATAAACATAAAAGTTATAGAGCAATCACTCTTTTATCGTGCAAAATTGTATGCAAAAGTTGACCCGCTTTTCTCGAAGCATTTCTATGGAGACACTCTATCTATATAATCTAAGTTGATATCATATTTACTGCAGTTTAAAAAATATCAAACAAAATATTATTACGAGTTAATTTAAAAAAAATCTCATTTTATAAACTGGTAATACAGCAGGTATTTCTAAAAATAAAAAAAAAAGCTTACCAGTATAGACATTTTTCTCAAAGGACGGTGCATTGTCGTCAACATCCAACACATCTATCAACACTGTAGTTTCCGATTTTAGACGATCAGCACCGCCATTTGGAGTATCAACAGCTTCTATTGTTAATCTCAAAACCGATTGACGCTCTCGGTCCAAAGTCTTATTCGGTGCTATCTAAAAGAAAAAAAAAAATCTTTATTGCACTAAAACATCTCTCTCTCTTCAGTTGTACACTATCGACAGAGTGGCCGTGGTTTTTATGATGATAGTGGATCGTCGACGAGGCCCTCCTTCGCAACTGAGGTCCTCGCTATGCGTCTCCATCTACTTCTGCTCATAGTCGAGCAAGAGCATTCCACAATAGACTGCTGTCCATCGCGTTGTGATTCTACGCCGAGAACGTTTGCATTAAAACATACTGTATGTTTTAGTGCAAAGTAAGCAAAGGTGAACCTATCTTTAAAAAATATCCCTTCCAGTGAACCTAATACAGTGGTATAGGAAGTCTTGAGTGAACATCAGTTCTGCATAAGAGTATTGAAATCGGAATGAATAGCATTTGTATTTTTCAAAGAAACCTAAACCGAAAAACGACAGAAAATGTAACGTCTCTCATATTAACTTACCTTAAAATTAGACGCGAATGAAGGCTCAAAATATTTTATTTTTTTTCGACTAATTTCTTTTTATTATTCTAATTATTTTCAGTTTGTATATTTGGTAATTATCGAAATACAAATGAATTAAGTGATGGTTAAGATTACCTTAATTACTCCAGTAACATTGTCAATAGAGAACAAATCAGAATTTTCTCCTTTTATTGTATATCGGATATCCGCGTAGCCTTTGAGTTTGTCGTCTTCACTCAATACAGCATCTGCATCTGTTGCTTTTACAGTCACAATTTGTTCAGGATGCTTGATCGATTCCAATACACTTACTTTGTAAAGCTAAAACATAATAATTATCGTCCAAATTATATAAAAAAAAAAAACTGCGGTTTTAAATTAGATATGTAATTTTTAATAAAACAATAAGATATTGACTTTACCTCTTTTTCAAACAATGGCGGATTGTCATTTAAATTCTCAACTTCTATTATTATTTTTCCAATACTATGCTTACTACCATCATTACTAGTAGCTTTAACAGTTAATGTCAAATTAGATGTTGTTAGCTCTTCGTAATCTAAATGTTTCGTTAAAACCACCTGTCCACTCAAAGGATCAACTTGCAACAATCCAGTACCTGAATTTATAACTTTAAAATTTGTTATCACATGGCCAGAAACAGGATCTTCTGCCGTCAAAACTAGAATCGTACTACCAATTGGTTGTTCTTCTTTGATTTTATGGTATATTATTGAATTGGAACTTGACCAACCAGGGTTTGTAAACTGTGGATTTTTGTCAGCGTATGGTTGAATATATATTGTATGTTCAATATAAGCAAATTGTTTATCTTTATTAAGTTCAGCGTTTATATCAACAACTTTGATAGTTAAAATAACAATGGATGCTTGACTATAATCCAACGTTCCGTTGACAAATATTTCTCCAGTATCTTCATTAATTCGAAATATTTTTTTGTAGTCATATGGGGAATTTGGTTTAAGCTGAACACCAGCTTTTGAGAAAGCTTTCATAGGTTCTGTTAAACTGTATTTTAGTTTCGCATTAACATCCGTGTCATAAGCAGATATTGTAGTCACTAAGTCGCCAAGTTTTGTTTTCTCTGAGATATATGTGGTCGAATCTGTCATATTAAATTTGGGTGGTTTATCATTAACATCTTGTATGGTGACAAATACTGTAGTAGTAGCAGTTTCGGGTACTGGCATACCACTGTCTACAGCTGACACAAGAATTTCATATTTATCAGCATTTACATCACGATCTAGGTTAGCGTCATTTGAAACAGTTATCAATCCAGTCCTGAAATTACAAGAAAATAGAAATTATAATAAATAATTTTATTAACTTGAGTAACCAAATTCAAAAAATATTATCGTACTTTTCATTAATAACAAAGTTATCTTTTGATCCGGAAACAATATGATATGTCAAAAGATTATCTAATCCATCTGGATCACTGGCAATAACCATTGTTACATTTTCTCCTGGTTTTGCATCTTCTCTGATACTAGCTTTGTAGTTCATGGGATTTAAATCGAATGTGTAGTCTTCATTACTCTCGGGATTTCTTTGGGTTACAGTATATTTATAGTGATGGTAATTTCCTTTAAAAGTTGGGCGTTGATTTCCAGGTACACCAACACGAATATAAACTTTTGTTTCATTATAAAGTGGCGGATTTCCTGTAAATATATATCAAAAATAAAATGTTCTTTTAGTTTTATAACGAATATGTAAATACTACCACAATATAAATGCTAATAAACCTTACCATAGTCTGTAGCTCTAACAACAAGTTCATATTGTCCTCTAGGTGTATCCATAGTTTCTACTTTATCCACAATAGTGATTTCTCCAGTCTTTTCATTTATTCCAAATACGTTGCCTTTATGTGTGATACTATTGTCAGATTCCAGTGTATACCTTATTTGACCATTTCCTTGAGATACTCCATCTGCATCGCTCGCCTATAAACGAAGATACATATTATATCCCTACATTGAAATTATAATTATTCTAATATAAAACGTTATTATTACTTACCCTTATTATAAATTGAGGTTCAAAGCTGGTAGCACCATCTCTAATAGTTCTACTATAATCCACAGACTCAAATAATGGGGCATTATCATTAACGTCTAATACATCTACATATATACTAGTTGTAGTACCTTTACCTCCACCATCTTTTGCTAGAAGTGTTAAACTATAGCTTTTCTGTTTTTCATAGTCGAGTAGTTGCGCTACATATAAACCTCCTTTGCTGCTATCAGTCTTAAATAAATTAGAACCAAACCCAGTCAAAAAATAATCTATTTCACCAAATATGCCATAATCCTTATCTGTTGCTTGCACATCACCAATTTTAGTTCCAATAGTTGCATTTTCTAATACATTAAATTTATAACTTGATTGTTCAAATATTGGTGCGTTGTCATTCATATCTAATAGTTTAATATTTACTCGAGCAGATGATAACTCTAAATTACCTACTGAAGATACAATATCGAAACTGTAAAGTCTTTGTTCTTCATCATCAACATCATAATCAAGTTTTGATGAGTCTTTTACTTTGATACTAATTGGTGTTCTTCCCTCACCATATTCTGTACTTATAGCAAAAACACCTTCTGAATTATATACATCTCGTAATTTCAAATCATATTTGCTATTTTGTCCGATATCGTTGTCTTCGACGTATATCGATAAACCTGGTATGGGGCTCCCGTTTTCGATGTTCTCTGGTATAGATATATCAAAGACTTCTTTATTAAATTTTGGAACATGATCATCTACATCTGTGACAATGATAGTAACAGGCGTTACAGTGTAATCAGATGGAACCTCATTATTTATTAACTCTGTGGCTTTAACAAAAAAGTTGTACACGCCTCCATTTTGAATTACTATGTCGCTTTCTCGGTCTATTGGTATATCTGAAGTGACTAATACAGAACGACCTATGGCTCTATCAGGTAATAGTTTAAAATATTGTTCTGTATCACCTTCTAACGTCAGTAATACTGGACGGGGATTGGCAGTATCACCATCTTTTGCTATGATTTCCATTATACTAGTATTCTGTAATAAATATGTTAAAATAATATTATAGATTATTCTTATTTTGTAAATTACAAGATATAACGGAATAATTTTAAAATTATGTATTTGTATTCCATTATCCTGTTTTTGTTACAAGGTATCAAGTTTAATTTCAGCTACTGTTGTGAATGTAACATTCTCTAGTTCTCTAGTAAGAGTTATTATATTGCATTTGATTCCTTAAATCACATTAATTTTACACAATTTCGTACATACTGGTGGTGTATTTTCTGGTACTGTTGCTGAATATGGTGCATTGGTAAAAGAAGGTGGTTGATCTTGAACATCAGCCACCGTAACTGAGACACTTGCAGTAGCTCGAAGTGGTCTGTCAGATGAATCGGACGCTTCTAAGCTAATTACGTACGCTGACCTACTTTCGAAGTCCAATGGGTTGTTGAGGAAAATTCGAACTTGGTACTCGTTGGGTGAAATCTGAAATTTTGTTAAAATAATTAACACTGTTATTGTATGCACATTGCTTTATATATAGTTAGACTATCGTATTATTTCCATTACTTCTTTCCTGTACATCTTCTTAATTTATAATGTATAAAAAGGTTAAAATATTTTTCTTTCCAAGAATGATAATTTCTTTTATCTACGGTGACATCTGATTTAACAAATAGAATAAGGTTTTGTTATCACTGTGATTTAAAAAAGTATCTATTAAGCTTTCTATACAATAGGTAAATATAAAAGACACAAAAAACGGTATAGAATTGGCTATATGTAGACTTCGATTGAATAATAACAACATATAAGCTTACCATATCAGTGACGATGCCAAACGTATTGCATGCTTCGGAATCGCTTCCTTTTTCTTTCGTTGTACATTTCACTCGTATTCTAGCGTTAATATCATCGTCGCGGTCCGTTACAATAATATTTGGTGTAACCTGACAGAAATAATAGATTCATAAACTGTTTCGTTTAACAAATGAACAAAATATGGGATCTTATTTAATTTAATTGGATCGATTGTTAACTGACTTTTCAAATGTCTAATTCGAAAATTAACATAAATATATGAAATTAGAGTATTATAAGTAAAATTGAATACAACATCAATTAGCATTTAATATTACTGTATCAAAATTACGGAATTGAGTTCTAGCTAAATGGAACTTTCTAGCTCAAAGAATAATTTAAGCCAATATTTTATCTGAATCAAAGTTTTTTTTAATCGTCTATTTTTAATGACTACTAATATATCAATATATTATCTAAATTAAATATTTGCAACAGGAATTTGATAGAAACCTCAATTTCTGTCCCTATAGGAGTAGATTCACTTATATTGACGATATAGGGTCGGTTGTGGAAAACAGGCGGATTGTCGTTGACGTCCTTCACGGGTATGACGCGGCGGAGCGACACGGTATTGGGTTCTGTGTTCGCAACGCCTTCATCTGGAGTTTAAACAAATTTATATTAATCATTACTCTTAATACCACTACATTCTTTGCTTTGAACCTATTTATCACTATTAGACGTGGATATAGCTTACAACTTCCACTTTCCAGGCGGTACAATAGAGGGTTTTATTTAGAATATGTTTACTCTTGCATTCTTGTATTGTGCTTTCTTTTCTTAGTTGCCTTTTATGACATCTTTGGGGCGATAAGGAGTGGTTTGTATTCTTAACTCCTGATACCGTTATCATATGGAGAATATTGTGAAATAAATAAATAATAACATGAGTAGTATTTCATATTTCTTTTAATGTGTAATTGAAAATTCACGCTCGATCATTTTTGTAGTCATATCTTTTTTTTTAATAAAAAATCGGTTTCAAACATGTCAAAACTAATTAAAAACCTAACTACTGAATTGAATTCAAAGTTTCTATGGAACTAATTTGAAAGTGAGCCCTATTAGAATAAAAAAAATGATATCGGTTTATAAATGATGAATTTCTGAGGAAATAAATATAAAATAATACAATTGTATTTGGTTGAGGAAGAAGGAGGTTGAGAAGTAAGTCGTCAATTGAGGACCTCCTTCTGTTTTTGAAGCTTTTTTTATACCACTATGGTGGCAAAAAAGCATATGACCGACCTGTTGATAAGCGGTTACCATAGCCCATGGACGCCTGCAACGCGCGCGTAATATCATAGGTATTACGCGCGCGTTGCCGACCCTGAAGAAACCTCTTTACCCCCTTTTTGAAGAACCCCATGCTGTAGTCTCTTGGGAGAACCTCGGCAGGGAGCTTATTCCATAAATTGATTGAAAAAGGCCAAAATCTATTATTATTACTATATTTGGAAGGTTGTCACTGTCCACACTTATTTTATATGGGGATGTATTGGAATCCCAAATCCAAAAGCAAGAGAAACGTTAACTAATGTAGTTTTTCTAACGATCTAAAGAACGTTTTAATGTTTTGTTAGATTTTTTTTTATGGGTAATAATGGAATGGTAACCTCGCCTGCGCTATCGGTATACGCTGGCGGGGCACCAGTGAGGGATGATAGGTGAGGAGGTAGGTCGGTCGGCCCATCGTGAAGAATTAAAAAAGAATTAACCACGATGGTTTCCAGGGGGAACCACGTAGAAGTCGACCTGATATATGGGTATATTGCTAGCAATGGGACTGTTAGACCCCATTACTAACAATCCCTTTCCCCTGTTTTGTTAGATTAGGTACCTAAACGTTTTTTGAAGCAGTCAAACTTACCTGTAATACTAATAATTACTTCGAGCGAGTCTTGCTCTTCTCTATCCAGAGTTCTGGCTAATGTGACCACACCGGTTTGTGGGTTGACAGAAAAATATTGGCCAGATATTGAATACCGTAATGGGCCATTCTCTGGATCAATTCCTTGAACAATGTAAGGGACATTTTAAAAACGAATCAACAAGCATATAATAGCATTGCTAAAATAGAAAGCTTAGTTTCAACTTTATCATCATTATCTCAGCCATTATCCGTCCACTGCTGGACATAGGCCTCCTCCATAGACTGCCATAAGGAACAGTCCTGAGCTACCAGAATCCACTTACTCCCTGCAATGCATTTGAGGTCGTCACTCCAAAAATTTCATCTTACCATACCATACCAGCCGTTAATTATACACTGCTGGACATAGGCTTCCCCCCTAAGGGGGATTTAGTTAGTTACCACGCTTGGCATACGGGTTGAGAACTGCAGTAAGGCTTTAGTGACGATCACTTCTGCATGTATATCTTTCGAATATTAAATTCCCTTAGTCGCCTCTTACGACATCCACGGGAAAGGAGGGCACACCTATCTTTCCCGTGGACAATCCCACAGCCTATTCTACGCCGAGACCACTATTTTTATTATCAATTTATAAACATGAGTTTTATCATTACGATACCTTTTAATTGGTAAACCGGTGTGCCAACAGGCGTGTCTTCCGGAAGACTGAAAGCACCCATGTCCCCCGTCTGCGGCACGAAGTGCGGTGCTCTGTTTATCACTTGGCTCGTGCATGACTGTATTATTGATATTATAAGTAATATTATCAGTGGATTTGGTTCGTTGACCACTATGGCTACTTTTCGTCGTTGAAATATTATTTCTGCCATCTGTAAATGAAGAAAATATTGGTAAGGTGAATAATATAGTTTTTTTTTTCTTTGATAGGTGAAAATGGGATAGTGCACTCGCCTATGCTAACGGTATACAATAGTGAGGCACCAGTGATCAATGAAATGATGACGATGATGAATTTAGTTCAGTTGATCGATTGTACCGAGTTTACCAAGAATTAATTACAAGACAGGCGGTCGATCGTAAAACTTAAAGCCAAATCTCTTTGTAATATGGATAAAACCATATTACGCCGACTCCAAATAATAATTGGGATAAGGGCAGCATAATGATGATAAAATGTATTTTCGTTTGGTTGAACATTAAAAAAAATTAGTTTAAATTTGTTAATATTGTAAAAAAAAAACTTGAAACTTGTAAAGTATGGGAAATAAAGCTATAGTAATATCTAATAATAAAGAAAGAATAACCAAGTAACCTAGTATGTCCGATTCTCTCACTGTAGTTTTCTGTGGGCACATATGTCAGGTACATACAATGGCGTGTTTGACCTAGATATTTTATTGTGTATTGACGCATATAGAGTTCTACCGAAGCACGCATTTCTAAAATCCAGATAGTAGTATAATACATATATATGTATAAATAATATAAACTGTAATCGTAGTAGTAGATCCAAACTTATATCTTTTTAAAATTGAAAAATTTTTTTTTTTTATATGCTATAAACCCTTCGATTACATATATATATATATATATATATATATATATATATATATATATATATATATATATATATATTTGTACCTTTAATATAATATTTGAACTTAATAATATTTTCATACTGTAGTACTATAACTTGTTTATACATCCACACACTTTGGTCACTTGATGTTTGATTTTCATATACCAAAAAAAAAAATAAAAAAGTTCCAGATGTCATATTTCCTGCCGGGTGAATTTTCCATTTTAAGGAGTTTGTTTAGTAATAACTTGGGGATTTTGTAATAAATTATAAAAGTTTAAATTGACTATTTTTAAATTATATACTAATAAATCTAAAACTATTCAGTATTTTGTTAAACATAATATTATATTAAACTTAAAATTTTTCATCTATAATTAAAGCGAACGGTCAGGACGTCATTAGTCTGTCTAAATTTAAAATTGAATTTGCCGCGCTTGTATCTGCCGTGAAAAACAAAAGAGTGAATTCTCAATATACGCCGCGTCCGTGTTAGTGGTTGGTGGGGAGAAAAACGCCATGTCGACAGTTGCTTTGGTGATCTAGACGGATTTTCACGTGTTCTTGCATATTGTTGATGCACTTTGTCATTTTCCTGTGAAGCTATTATGAAGTGAAATGTAAGTAAATCGTTTAAGTTTTCATAATACATTTTCATAAGTTAAGGTATAATTCGAATCACCTGATGAGTTTTTAATTATATTAGTTATTAGAATAAATAAAAAATAATATGTGCGTTTTTGTCATTTTCCTGTGGTCATTTTCCTGTTATTTGCATGACAGACAAATGACTATATGACAGGAAAATGACTATACAAGGTAAGTCAATTTTTTAATTTATTTGAATTTTGTTTCAGTATGCAATAATTATAGCTTCAATGAGAAAAAAACGAGAAGAAGTGTTAAAGGGAAAGCAGAATTGGAGAAAATAAAATATCAACGGATTAAAAAAGATTATAAAAAAAGAAACAGCTGGAAGAAAAGAAAAAAGACTACTGTTAAAAAAAAGCGAAGGGTAAAATTAGAAGTATTGCAGAATTAACTCCTCGGTGTAAAAGATTGAAAAAAAAAATAATATAGCAAAATATAGAGAAAAGAAAAAATCTTTCGGTGATTGCTTCAGTTTTTGAAAACACAATTACATTACAATCAAATAATGATGACTCCAGTCGTACTCGAAGAGTTACCAATTACAGATGGACGGAAAATAAAAGGCTACAGGAGGTCGGAAAGAGATAGACGTGAAAACCATCTACAGTTAAAGGAAAAAGACAAAATTATAAATAATTTAAAAGATCAGCTAAAGAAATATCAAAAAATAGTTTCTAGCATGAAGTTGAAGCTGTAGCGTCCACAGCAGCAAAAAGACATTCCACATCACACGAATATTGTTCATCAATATTCTGCTATAAAGAAATTTAAAGATAAGATGTGATATTTTTAAATTTTTTTAGTAATGATGTTGAACTGTTTGAAATTGATGATAATGGCTATGATCCATCAATTGAGGATATTATTTCAAAGTTTCTTCAACCGTCTTTATAAGGCGAACATATTTTTTACAAATTCCCAAATCCTGTAACGTTTTCGAGAAATAACTTTTTTCTTGTATTGCTCTTTTTTCTTGCATTGCTCTTTTTTCTTGCATTGCTTTATTTTTCTTGCCTATTTTTTATCTTTTTTTAAAAGTTTTATTTCATATTTATTTTTAAAACATAAAATATTATTTCTAACTTTATCAGTATTGTTAAGTTGAAAACATGTAAACTAAGCATATTAGTTACACTTAATCATTTTTAAGCTTCTTCTAACTTAAGACTGATTAAAAAATCGGTATTTGAATTAGATGAATAAGAATTAGGGATAAGGTGGATGAGACACTTACATCTTTACTTTAAGAAGAATTAATTTCATTTTGTGAAACTAAGTTTTAACGTATAAATTGGACAAATATTACTCATTAATTCAGTAAGTTTCAAGTTTTAATGAGTCTGGTCAAATATGTTACTAACCAAATATAGGTTACATTAATATAATTTTATATTATTGAAAATGTTAAGAGGAGAAATTTAATATTGTTTCTATTACATTGATTATTCTTGATTTCATAATAAATATGATAATTCATAATAGTGATATTTTTTTGTCTTTCAATCAGTTTAGTTTTAATAATAAACTAACTAAACTAAGTTGTATTAAAAAAATTAGAAAAATGGCATGCGTATGAAATCGTATTACTGGAATTATTCCAGTAATTAATACAGAAGGAAGTAAATAAAAACTAAAATATATTGGTTGACCGTGACAATACCTGTGTTAAGTTGCATGCGTTTCCCTATTTGATTTTTTTTTATACAACTTAAAATGGCAAACAAGCTGACGACCCACTTGATGGAAAGTGGTACCGTCGCCTATAGACATGAGCAGTGCCATGGACATAACAGAGTATATACTGTTATTTATATATATATATATATATATATATATATATATATATATATATATATATATATATATATATATATATATATATATATATATATATATATACTGTTACGCCCACGATACCCCCCCATGCGTTGCCATTCCTAAAGACTCAGATGTTATTCCTTTGTACCCAGTAAATTCACGCCATATCCCACCCTTCAAACCGAAACACAGCCATGCAAACACTACTGCTTTACGGTTGAAACACGAATGGGACAGAGGTACCCAAGCAATCGACTTTTGTACAAAGTCTCCCTCTAGTAAATGAATTTTAATTAGTACTATGCTATAATTATTAATTAATGAATTATTTTATGTATTTAAACTGCAATGCACAGTAAAATTCTATGTACATTTGGCGGACTTAACACCGGACAGTGTCCTCTACCAGTCAACCATTGGGCAAACAGAGAAATACGTAGGCGGTGCACTTTTGAATAGAGAAAAAAATAAAATAAAACAATACTTGATAAATTCATATGATATAAACATACACATAATATATTGAATAAATAAATATATACATACGTAAATAAATACATAAAATATGTACTATATAAAACAATGAAATAAAACAACTGCAATAGAAGAGCAAATAGTAATCTATGACTCAAACAGAGTAACCAGCAGGAGAAGCTTAAAGGGAAAGCGATTTTTCTAAGAAATAAGTGCGCAATTTGTGTTTAAAAGCTAGCTTGTTTATGGTAGATCTTATGTCAAGCGAGAATGTGTTCCAGTGTTTAATAGCTTAATGTGGGGGGAAAGGGATTGTTAGTAATGGAGATTGAGAATCCCATTGCTAGCAATATACCCAACCAGGTCGACCTCCTCGCGGTCCTCCCTGGAAACTATCATGGCTAATTCCTGATGAATTCATCATGATGGGCTAACTGGCCTGTTTTCATTCTCATCTATCACACTTCACTGGTGCTCCGCCAGCGTATCCTGTTAGCGCAGGCGGGGTTACCATACCATTTTCACCCTACAAAAAAAATAGCTTAATGTTCCCATTATAGTAGTCACCAATTCAGATCGCCATAAGAAAAGGACAGCTGCTATAAAATAAGTTTAGTAACTGAACCATATAAACACCGTTACGCGTTTACGCTATCTAATTGGTTTCACAATCAAAATTAAGTGAACTAGCCGTACAACAAGCAAGTGTCTGCAATTTTTACCTCTCGAAACGTTTACGTCACCGTCTCCAGGCGGTCGGAGGCTTGGCGTGTTGTAATTACGATTGTTGTGGATTACATTGTCATGAACATAGATACGGATTTGTTTTTTTTTATACAACTTAAAATAGCATACAAGCTTGACGGTCCACCTGATGGAAAGTGGTAACCGTCGCCTATAGACATGAGCAGTACCGTGGACATAACAGAGTATACTGTTTCGCCTATGACACCCCCCATGCGTTGCCATTCCTGAGGACTCGGGTGTTATTCCTCTGTACCCAGTAAATTCACGCCATATCCCACCCTTCAAACCGAAACACAGCCATGCAAACACAGTTGCTTCACGGTTGAAACACGAATGGGACAGAGGTACCCAAGCAATCGACTTTTGTACAAAGTCTTCCTCTGGTAAATGGAAATTTCAAATGGAATGGTAGCGGGGCACCAGTAAGAAAGATAGGTGAAGATGAAAGCAGCTCAGTTCGCCCATCGTGTCGAATTAATCAAGTATTAGCCGAGATGGTTTTTAAGGAGAATGTTAGTAGCAATGAGACCTCCAGTCTCTACTGATAATAGTTCCTTTCCCCTGGTATAAGAGTATCTGTATATTCCGTTTTAAAAGGCC